GTTGATCATCGGAAAAGTTAAAAAAATGGGTATCTACTAATTGTGAGAGGGACTCAACTAAGGATTTAACTGGACTTCCATCAGCTGTTTTAATGAGGGAGGGTGTACAAGAATGGCTATTTGTCAACAGTTTCGATAATCTAGACTGTAGAAATTATAAACCACTGCTTCTGCCTCTGGAGTTGTCTCATCATCATGTGATATGTAAGTGGATACCATTAGAATTGCCAGTTCTGCTTCTGCCCTACCCCGGCGGTGGTGATATCTAAAGAGGTAAATCAGACAAAAACATAAGGTGCGTTTTTGCTAAAATGCACCATCTCGGCTTACCCTGTCCTTTAATCATAGAAAACATCAAACCCATTGATGTTGAGTCCTTTGACATATGAGCCATGAACACATTGCTGTTTGATAAAGTCAAGGTCGATATCCTCCTCTCCGAGTAAGACAACTAGATTAATATTTCGAGTGCTTTAGGTTTATTTACACGTTGGCCATTTGCGCATAAACAGAGTTTATTTTCAATAATGATGTCGACTAGCATATTCGAAATTCCTCGAATATTCGTTCAACCGGTATTGGAATCTACGACGATCTCGTCATTAGATTTCGGTTCTCCATGAGTTTGGCGAATATACACTCTCCAACCACGAATTCCGAGGTATTATCAGAGGAATTCATATCCATAACATCTTCGTCCATATCGCCCGAAAGGACATGCACAAGCGACCATCATGGCTCAGCTATACCATGGCTAGACCACACTCACTTCTCAAGGCGGTCATGTTTTGGTAAGGTTCTGCAAAAATACAGTCGGACAGACCTCTTGACTGCAAACCTTCGCCCGGTGAGCACGGATAGCGAAACACTCCCAGGTTAGAGAGACCTTTATAATATGATCAAAAAGCATTTAATGATGAATAGCTATTGTGAAGCTAAGTTGATGATTTATCGGAACACTCTCCCATTTACTAATTAAAAACACTGCATAATGATAATTTGCCTATTACTAAAAACATTTTTTTTAAAACTCTTTTAGATTCCAGAACAATTTAAGGCTTTCTGAAAACACATTCCACCATAACTACCTTATTGGCTTATGTTCCAACCACATAATTGTCTGTCATTGATCCTACCAGACTTGAGATATAAGTACATACTACTTTTTCTGTATAGATAAATAGCTTCTATCGAGAAGCAACTGTTAATTAATCCTGTATTTTTTCATAGAATCACGCCAAATTAATTGTTTTGAATGACAACTGTTTAAATATAGCTTAATAGGACTTATCACAAAGATTTGTTAGGACACATTTTAATTAAGACTGCTACCATTTTCGAGCTTCGAATAAATATGAAATGAATGATAAAGTCCGGCTATCAATTGAACTCGAATCCAACGCAGTTCGAATCCCCTTTAGCAAAACAAATCCAAACAAAACCAATTAAATTCTGTCAAATTGTGAAAAAATTAATAAACGCAAATCAAAAGAGCTTAAAATACATTTTTGTCCACACGATTTGCAATGTGAAACTTTAAATTTATCTTCATATTATTTATTTTATTTTATTTATGTATTTTTTGTCATATTTTCATTTTGTTAAATAACAACGTGGAAGTCCCACATATCGAAAATATCTGATTTTTTGCTAAAACAATTAAAAATGCAAATTTTATTTCGCTTTCAACTTCAAATCGCGCATGAATCGCGCGGCAAACTGCAGTTGCCAGTAGGTGAAGTACTTGAATAAAATTAAGCAGAAAATCTTCAAAATCAATAAAATTAAATTCATGCAAATTGAGTAGAGATTCAAATTCAAAATTGCGGAAAACAAAATAAAAAATAAACAATCGCCAGCTGCTGCAAACTGTCAACAAATCGTTTGCAAATCAATTAAAGCCTTTTATTTCAGAAGTCTGTCATCCGCTGCCGTTGAATTACAGCCGCTACTTTACTTCACCTCCACAGTAGCACTATTCGATCGTATATCTACTAGACATAGTAACCAGGAACATGTAGTCGCCTTTAGCGTTAGAGCAACCCAATTGATTTGCACACTGTCTCCACTGGAAAGTCAACTCCAAACAGCGATCCACATTTACTTCGCATAAGTCTCTTCAAATGACTATGTAAACAAATGGCTTTGTTTATTATTGCACTGAAAATAGTTCTTCTTGCCCACTTCAGGTGAACATGAGATACTTTATGTATATCATAATTACTGATTAATTGATTTGCAAACTTTTGGCTTTGCTTGTCATTTCGTGTCTTTCTCTTTTTCAGCTTAGAAGCACTTCAGCTTGACTACCAATTGAAATTCGAGTGAGAACCGTACTTTCGCTTCAACGGCTCAGTCCACTTCAATTGTCATTTCGAAGTCGTCTCAATTGTTTTTTAATGAGGACAAATTTTGTTTACGATGCCATGCGTCAAACTATTGTGCGGTATGAGAATATGTGAACGACTTACTTACGACTTCCACAGTCCAAAAATCTACAATTACGAAATATTCAGGTCGGATTTTGGTGAAACAATGCCGAGCAAATATGGAAATTGAGATGACAACAAAAGTAAAAGCAGTCAGTCCAATTGAAAGTTTTCTTCTCTAAATGCTTCTCGCTTAGAATCTAAAACTTAGAAATCTAATAGCAAAATTAACAGAAAAAAACAATAAAAAGAATAAAAAAATTAATTAACTAATAAATTATTATGCCAATTTAAAATTGACGTAAAATTAAATTCTTTTTTTATTAAGTGCGTACAGTAGATTTAGGCATATGGAATATGTTAAGTTTGGCAAGAAATGTTTAAAATTATTTTTTCTATTTCGTGTTTTTTTTTTATTGGCTGTTTTTTACAAGAACTCTTTCTCATAAATTTTATGAGAATGCAATAAATACATTTTCACTTTCTTTATTTTTTCAGTGCTATTAGCTGGCACTTTCATTTTTTCTTTACTATATTTCAATGTACATATTTAAACTCAGCATATTATAAAAACCAATTAAATTCAAAATAACAAGGGCATCAATTGACGTTAGTGGTAGGCTGATTGGTAGGCTGAGGGGCTGAGGGGACAATCCCAATATAATTGAGAAGCATTGATAAATTAAGAACTACATTGAGCTAGGCTACCATGCGAACATTGGATAAGGATGGTATATTCTAAACCATAATTAAACATAAATATAAAACTATCGTTTGTTGAGCTAGGCACCATCCTTATGGTATATTCTAAACCATAATTAAACATAAATATAAAAGTATCGTTTGTTAAACTTAGGCTTAGTATGACTTTGGCTTGCATTCACATTGGATAAGGATGGTGTATTAGTTTCTGCTCATTTCAAATCGAGTAACTCTTATGATTTCTCACGGTATTAGAAAATATTCTGCAATCACTGATTTTATCTTATGCTGACGCTAAAGTTAACGACTAAACGTGTAAGTAAATAAGTTTTCGTAAGAACCACATAAACATCTCTCAGGCGCGCTGATATCGCATATGTTCCAATAGTCAACGACTGTGCAAATCAATAAAATTTTAAATTCAAAATTATGCAATTCAATATTTGTATCTTCACGGTTGTTATTTGATTATATTTTTTTTTTTTGTTTTCAATTTTTATTTTTAATGTTTTTACTTTTTGTGTTCATTATTTACCATTTACTTTAAAAATAATGATGTGTGCATACTCGCATCAGCCACTTTGTTCGATTAATTCGTTTATGCTTTCGATTGGACATTAAATGTGACATCATAAAATAAACAATAATAAAAAATAATAAACAATATTAAAACTAATAAAAATGAGCATAAAATTATTGTTAAACAAATTTTTTTTTAAATATTTACACTTCGCATTGCACAATCAAAGCAAATTGTGAGCAAAATCTACGAAAACAGGCATAAAATGTGAACAAAATAAATAAAATTTATATTAATTTATAAGATATAATTTCTATTGTATATAACTTAAAAAAATAGTCTCAATTATTTAATCAATTCATTTATACTTTTACTATTCATAGATGTATTTTGTATTTATTCTCTTCCAGAGCATCAATAATCCCCTCACATTTTATTTATCGCATGCTAGTAGCGATTGTGACTAAAGCGGAATACTAGATATCTATGAAAAATATAGGAATATTAGAACATAAATTCCTATGCGGTACAAGCAGTGGAGTACCCAAAGTAATGCCGAGAAAGAGAACATACTAGAAAAAATTTTTTTTGCAGCGGTTTTGTAATACATTATCTGTGGATTATATTGTCATACGGGAAGATATATCACCATAAAACATTGCATACAAATAATGGATGAATAATGGGTTGAATTTAAATGTTTTTTTGAGTTGATCACAGCTTTAATGACATAAAATTTGTTAATTCGTTAAGGGAACAGAATAATTCTATCATATCATTTATTTGATGAGGAAATAATATACATTACATGTTACTAGAATTCAGAAAAAAGATACTATATAATGTTGTTAGACAAACACATCTTCCTATCACTGTGAAAATCGGGTTACTTTCAAATAGATGATAAATTTCTTCTATGTGGTTTTGTTTATTCGATATTTTGTAGACAACTAATTTTAGATTTGCCGTGCGAAAAACGTATTATTCTTTTCTAACTGGAAAACTATTTATATTGCATGCTACATTTTATTCGAATGGTACAAAATATATTCCATAAACATTTAAATTCCAAATCAGGTCGTTTAGTCTGAATGCTTTAAGCTTAGCTTAGTTCCGAGCCGGCAATGCCGTCAATTTCACTTTTATATTTTCATTAATTCAAGCTTAAATTTGCTTACGTTTATTTACGTTTTTTCAGCGTCTCTTTTCGTTTTTGTTAACTTTTCTTCAAAAATTGTTTAAATCAAAAAATTCCAGACTGCAACTCCAACAGTCTTCAGTTGGCTTTCGTTAAAGCCTTTCGTGCTAACGTATTTTTCGTATTCCGTTAAAAATTTGAAGACGTGAATTTAAATAATTAAAGTAAATTATTTAATGAAAATCGAGTGAAACCAATTTGAAGTGTCTTTAGTCTAACGTGCGGAAACGGAAACTGCAAAATGTTGAGCGCAACAATACCTGTGGTATTTATATATTATTTTCATATAAGAAAAGTTGTTGAAGTTGCAAACCTGAAGTGTATTTGGTATATGAATTAGAGAAATATTTCTTTTTCCGGATTTCTGAATGGCAATACCTCTAATATTATTCAAAAAATATTAGTTCTTAACATTGCAAACTAATCCATCTTGAAACGTTTCTTCCACAGTTTGTCGGCTGACTTTATCGGTTTTGCAGATTCCCATCTGTGATTCCCATTTCATCTCAATAAGTAGCAACGAATCCTATAGTTGTCGCGCGCGCGTGTTTTAGAAGAAATTTCTTTCAAATTTTCTAAAATAATCGTGACCGAAAGTTACAACATATATATATATGGTTATATACTATAAATTTCTCTCAATGATAACTCTTGTTGTCACTTGTTCGGTCAACTGCTCGCTGCGTGAACAGAATATTGTTGTTGGTAAAATACATAGACATGAAATTTACTTGCGATATATAGTGTAGTAGTATATAGTGATAGGAGGGGAAAAGAACTTCTGATAGCAGGGATGTAAACGCAGTATTTTTTACATATTTTTTCGGACAAAATTAAAATTCGAATTCGAATTTAGACGGTTAGGCGACTTATATATCATGACTTTATGATTTTAAAATATTGTGTTTAGTCTATATATAAATACATATTCATAATACTTACTAATATTAATATATATAATATATAATTTTTAATTTGTACAAATTGTATTTTTATTTTTATATATTTATTTTTATTTTTAGCAAAACACTCTTTTACTTGTAATATTTTCCCTTACACTACCAAATTATTTATTGACGACAAGCATGCCTATTTCCCCGGACACTAGTTCCACTAATTTAGGCACTTATCCACCGGAACCCAATGAAATATTGCCAATACAGCCTGTATTGCTCTATCCTAAACCACGCCAACTGCAGTTACAAGCAAGAAAAATGGAAAAGGACAACGATATCATTTACGTGCAGTTATTAAAACGCAAAAGTCATAAACCCAAAAAGCGGCTTAATGAAGACGAAATCTTTAGAACAGGTGCAGCGAAGGAGCTAAGCATGAAGGACATATTCTACGTAAAAGCGTTAGCAAACGGACAGTTCAGCCATCAGAGAGTTAAGTGGTACCGCTTGCCGGAGTTCTACGCGATAAGTGTTTACCACAATAGCGATCTGATGAAGGACGAAAAATCTTCACTTTAGTTATAAGCGTAAGCTATATTCTAAAATTTTAAGTTATTTTTATCAAATTTTAAATAAATTCGTAAATATACATTAACTCTCAATTTATTCTTATTTTACCTTAATCGATTGTGCTTAAAACTGCACAATTTAACAAAACAACGGGCGTGTTATTTTCACATTTGACGAACTTCCAATTCAATTATTATGAGAATTCGATTGATTGATTGGTTCAAAAGTTTTCCTGTGCTATTCAATTCGCGGGAGAAACTGGTAAATAAGTCATCAATGCAGCAACTAAGTGCCAATTATCCAAGTTTTCCAGCGCGTTATGACCATGGAGTGAAACTAATTGCACTGCAATCGATAAACTGAGTTTGAATTCAACGAAACCAAAACCCCAATAGCACAAAAGTGCGCTCTGCCTGTGTTAGTCTTGTCGAATTGTCATCCCTCATAAAATCCATGAGAAATTTTGAACTCAATTCAGAAATTTCAAGTTGTGTAGTGAATTGAATTTGCACAATAACCACGTCATCGCTAAAGAAGTTGACAGAGTTTAGATAAAAAATAAAATATTTAGTAACGAAATTGATTGAACCCAATGATGTTTTAACGAATGTCCTGAATTACAATGAAGCTACAAATTGTTCATTTATCTTTATATATAGAGAATATAGTTAATTTTCAGTATGCTTCTACTTCTTCCCTATTTGTACATTTTTTAAACAGAACTAAATACCAATAAATTATATATAACATTACAGCCAATGTTGGGGTAATCTTCTCTATTTCATGTAACTTGCTGAATGGTTTAATATTTCTAAGATCAGTCCAATCTCGTATATTGCGTAGTCAACACATGCGTTTCCTTCCGATACCCCACCTTTCTAAAGAAACTTACATTTGAACCGCTTCAACTGACTAATGGTTGGTTTGAAAATTAAAATGCTTCCTTAGCAGTACTGAGCTACAGCGATAGATATAGATTAAAGGGACTATGCGTGCGCTCAGTGTCAACTAATTCAGTGACAACTAACGATTATATTCTCTATTGTATATACTTTTACACAATCTTTATTATACGTAGTATTCTCAAAAAGAGCAATGAATTTCATTAAAACGTTAAACCTAGATATTATAACGCCATGTACGTAAAAGTGCAAAAAGCAAAATGCTACAATTCCCTATTAATCTACTACTTTTGCATTATTTAGTAATTTAAACAATAATTTATTTGACATTTACATTATTTCTGCATATTAATACGGTTTTGAATACCTCCAAATCTCAGGGAAAGTCTTATACAAATTATATAAAAACAATGAATATTTAATAAGTGTTAATATAAAAAAATTAAGAGTTTGTCAAATATTTCATGCCCTTTAAACTATGATGAATAAAAGGTATATTAGGTTTATCAAAATGTTTGTTACTTGGCGAAATCGACGACGCGAACATATCAATCGTAAAAATGCATTGAAGAAGTACACGGCACGGCAAATGGAAATATCAAAAAGCTTGAAAGTACCATAAAATAATCTAAATTTTAAGTAACTGTCCAAAGCTATAGGTCGTCAAACTCGTTTAGTGGGCATGGAGTGGGCCGCTCGTGAAAGCAGTAATTTTAAAGCAAATGTTCCCTCCTAATTGTGTCGCCTCGTCATGGTTTTAAAAAACGTAACACAATTATTACCCTCAATGACGTCAAGTTATAAATCAATTACAGCAAAAAGCACTGTGCAAACCCATCGTGTTGTTGAGCCTAGACTTGACTCTGATTTTCATCTCAGCGACGACAAAGCAATAAATCTGCAACTATAGTCCAGACAGAGTAGAAAAGAAATTATTGCAGTGTATTCTCTATGGCACTATTGTGTTGTAAACCTTCTCATTTTATATATGTCCTCATTCTAAAATCTTCTAGCAAAATCAGAATACCAATGCATATATGCAACCTAAAGCCCTGAATGCGATTCAAGATAATGTGCTGTGATCCTCCAAACATGGCACTACATTATGCAGCTGGTTTAACGGTTGTAACAATTTGTTGAAAGAGTTCAAATGCAAGTATATTGATTAAAACTTTTGCAGAAGTTATAAATCAATGTACTTATTTCCTACAAGCATCAATGTTCCATTAATACCGGCATTCCACATGAGGCATTGAAACTGATTGCAAAATAATTTGAGATATTATTTCAGTAACTTTTTGCTACGCACTGATTTTCTGTGTAAGTCCGTTTATGAAGTAAGAGTCATCCAGCATTTATACTTAGTTCTCTATATGGTTATTTCACGAGTACCACTGTAGTATTACTTTATACTATCATTCTTTTAAGCTTTATATAATGAGCTTTTGTATCTACCTTCTTTTTGAACATTATGTTTACATCTTTAATAAATCCAATGATTTTATGTTCATCAAATTTTTAAAATAGTATCCTAGCTTTATTCTTTACGCATTCCGTTGCTGGCGAAACCCCAATTCTTTGTAAATGGAATTGTTTCTGACCAAAGATCTGAACGCATTGTTTTAATAAGTCTGTAACTAATATATATGGCATCAAAAGATATCAAAATCTTATAAAGATTTAGGTATTAAAACTTGTTTACAAATGGCTCAACAGATCAAACTGCTTAAGTTTCGTTGATAGCACAGCTACAAACAAAGATGACAACTATAATGCAATCAATCTGCCAAAAAAGGTAAAAGAAGAACTATTACTCAAACTTTTTCTTAACAGATTGGTAACACCTGCCCTGGCCAGATTTAGCTATTACGTTCATATAACAAATGACAATTATAAACAATTATAATGTGAGCAAAATAAATTTAGATATGTAAGTAGAAGGTTTAGTGTGTCCACATTACTTAAGTTTAAAGCGTTCAATAGTGTTTAAATTTTATATGCATATATGTTTACAATTTTAAAAACTAATTGCTTTTCATTTCACAGCTGCATTCTTTTTTAGTTTATTAATTAATATAATTTATTAAAATAAAATATAATATATTTTTATTTAATATAAAGAAAACTTTAAAACTTGTCATCCCTGACGAAATACGTCTTTAGCGTTATTTAAAAAACGCACCATCATGTTATAGTCTTCTGATTCAAGAGAAAATTGTCCGGGGAACGTTATAACCTTCAAGAAACGAAATAAAGATTATACTATAATAGATTGATATGACGACAAGCAAAATTGTAATTATTTGAATAAAATTCGTTAAGTATATGAAATAATAAAGCATATAGAAAAAGGCACGAGTTAAATTTGATTTTTCACAACTGAATAATTCTAAATTAAAAATCATTTACACTTATACTTTCATACAAGTTCAAGTCAAGAACATCTTCATCAAACTTGCCCACCATTCACGCTTCGTTGCTTTACCGAAATCGAAATAGGATTTTTGAAATTTAACATCCACAACAATTTCTAAATTAACGACAATTTGACGATTTAACAAGGACTTGTAATTTGTTTCTATTTGCATTTTCGGATACCCAAATTATGAAGCATTGTGAAATAATTTGAGCGCCTTTATGTCGCTAAATATTTTTTCAATGTAGTTACCTCTTTTGCATTTATGGAATCGGCTCCTGTTGGAACGCCAATTACTTCAACCCAGTCACCGTTTCGCACACCTTGGGGCTGAGGCATAGCTACTCGGACATTCAGGTTATCAGTTGATTTTGCAATGAGCATCCGACCATCTTCTTTCTCAACTTGCAACATGATGCTCACATTTTTACCAGTATACTGGCGCAGTATGTTACCATTTACTAAAGAACGTGGTTCGAATGACATTTTGATATATATATTGTATGATATTTTTATCTATGTAATAAAGCAGTAATTTTAGCAAATATCTAAAACAAATCACGAACTCCTCTATTCGCGCTTAAACTCAAACAAAACAAACTCGGACAGGGTTGCATTAAAATATTGTAGCATGCTCAAGTTGAGTTGCCAATGTATGAAGCATTACAAATGTCAAACATGCTGACAATTGTATGCAGTCGTGTACGACGTATATGTTAAAAGAATAAACATACATTTTATTATTTTTCTCAAATTTCTGTCTACTATTGATATATTAGGATTAAATATTATTGTCATTATCATTCTGAACAATTATAGTGGTAATTATCACAATTTTATTTTCGATTGTAAATCTGTTTGTTCGCTAATAGCACACTCACACTGTCTCATTTAAACGGTTTTGCTCATTATAACCACTAATGAAGATGATTTACCATACAAAAATCTTTCATACAAATGAATACATTATCAATAAATCAGCTCATTGAGGGCAACATTTAAAAAAATTTCGTATATAAATAATTTCCCACAAGGGAAATTACCAAAATTTGAAATATAAGTTATATATTTATATATAAGTTATATATATTATATATATGTAAAACCTTAACTGTAAACAAAGGCACTGAGGAAGTAAGTATTTAATAAAATCTCTGTTTTTGTCAATTGAATTTGTAATTTATTTATGTATAAAATGTATGTAAATGATTTAATATATCACTTATATATAAAATATTTTTGTGTAATGTATTATTAAGTAAAGTTTATAAAAGTTCTAACAGCTACATAAATGAGCTCATTACAATGTGAAAGTTCACTTATTAATATAAATGATTAAGTACCTAAATGAGGCATTGTGAATGTACCATAAGATAACTCATTATAATATATATAATCTGTTATCATATCTTATAATAATAAAGGAGTCGTACTACTTATAAAATTTTTGGTGAATGAAACACAAATTTGAATATCTGGTTGTTAAGTTTAAAGTCCATTGAATATAAACACAATAAGCATTTGCATAATATTTATTGAATATTGTAAACAAAAAATTGTTTGTGGTAAAATACAAGGTTGGGTTAAACAGCAAATTTGTTTGATAAACATACATACTACTTTTTTTCATTGTACCCGTTTAGAATAACGAATAATCATTGTGCAAATTACCAACATTTACATCACTTACTTCATCGCAGCTTTCGTTGTAATCATACAAGCAAGCGGCAAGTTAGCGATATATTCCGTAATAAATTAATGTAATGCAGTTGAATTTAATATATAAATTGTATATCTAATTAGTAACAATAATTAGAGTTTTACACTATTTAATAGAAACATGTATGACAACGAGGAAGGTAAGAAATTTTTTAAATGGATATGTGCACAAAACCGAATGTAAAAAGATGGCGTTTACTCTGCATTTTCACAATTCCTGACATTTAGTCATACTTTTTAATGTTCTGCTATGTGTAACATGTTTCCACAGAAATATACGAGGATGAAAATGCGGAAGAAATTTCACATGAATTGTGGCAGGAAGCATGTTGGATTGTTATAAACGCATATTTCGATGAAAAAGGTTTGGTGCGTCAGCAGTTGGACAGCTTCGATGAGTTCATACAAATGTCTGTGCAGCGTATTGTCGAGGACTCTCAAGCAATAGAGCTACAGGCAGAGGCCCAACACACTTCAGGTGAAATAGAAACGCCGGTAAGAGAATGATAGCTTCATTTAAAAGAATGTATGATATACATTTTCCCTTTTTTCAGCCACGGTTTTTAATAAAATTTGAGCAAATTTATCTCTCAAAACCAACGCATTGGGAAAAAGATGGCTCACCTAGTCCTATGATGCCAAATGAAGCACGCTTAAGAAACTTGACTTATTCAGCACCACTTTATGTTGATATCACGAAAACAAAATTAGTTGAAGGACAAGAGCCAGTTATAACACAACATCAAAAAACATTTATTGGCAAAATTCCAATTATGTTACGTTCCACTTATTGCCTTTTATCTCAACTGACTGATCGTGATTTAACCGAGTTGAATGAATGCCCATTAGATCCAGGCGGTTATTTTATAATAAATGGTTCAGAGAAAGTTCTTATTGCGCAAGAAAAAATGGCCACTAATACAGTATATGTTTTTAGTATGAAGGATGGCAAGTTTGCATACAAATCTGAGATTCGGTCATGTTTAGAACATAGTTCCAGACCCACATCCACATTGTGGGTAAACATGATGGCACGTGGTTCACAGAATATAAAAAAATCTGCTATAGGTCAACGTATTATTGCTGTACTTCCTTACATCAAACAAGAAATACCAATTATGATTGTGTTCCGTGCTTTGGGCTTTGTGGCAGATCGTGATATTCTTGAACATATAATTTATGATTTTGACGATCCAGAAATGATGGAAATGGTAAAACCGTCTTTAGACGAAGCTTTTGTGGTTCAAGAACAAAATGTTGCTCTTAACTTTATTGGTGCCCGTGGTGCACGGCCTGGTGTTACAAAGGAAAAACGTATAAAATACGCAAAAGAAATTTTACAGAAGGAAATGTTACCACATGTCGGAGTATCAGATTTCTGCGAAACAAAGAAAGCTTATTTCTTAGGCTATATGGTACATCGCTTATTATTGGCTTCATTGGGGCGGCGAGAATTAGATGATCGCGATCATTACGGTAAAATCTATTATAGCATTTTAGACTTTTATGATTACATATATTCCATTTTTCTATAGGAAATAAACGTCTTGATTTGGCGGGACCACTGCTTGCTTTTCTCTTTCGTGGTCTATTTAAAAATCTAATGAAAGAAGTTCGCATGTACACGCAGAAATTTATTGATCGCGGAAAAGACTTTAATTTAGAATTATCCATTAAGACAAATATAATTACAGATGGGTTACGTTATTCATTAGCTACGGGCAATTGGGGAGACCAAAAGAAAGCTCATCAAGCCCGAGCTGGTGTATCTCAGGTATTTAGATCTAATATATATTCCTTATGATATTTTAATATAGTTTTCTCGTAGGTGTTGAATCGTCTTACGTTCGCCTCTACTTTGTCACATTTACGTCGCGTTAACTCACCAATTGGTCGTGATGGTAAACTGGCAAAACCCCGTCAATTACATAATACGCTTTGGGGTATGTTGTGTCCTGCAGAAACACCAGAAGGTGCAGCTGTCGGTCTAGTAAAAAATTTAGCACTTATGGCCTACATATCTGTTGGTTCACAACCATCTCCGATTCTTGAGTTCTTGGAAGAATGGTCCATGGAAAATTTAGAAGAAATAGCTCCATCCGCTATAGCTGACGCCACTAAGATTTTCGTTAATGGTTGCTGGGTTGGTATTCATCGTGATCCTGAACAATTAATGGCCACTCTTCGTAAATTAAGACGACAGATGGATATTATTGTGTCAGAAGTGTCCATGATACGTGATATACGTGATCGTGAAATTCGAATATATACTGATGCAGGACGTATTTGTCGTCCACTTCTAATTGTTGAAAATGGTTCATTGTTGTTAAAGAAAACTCACGTAGAAATGTTGAAAGAACGTGACTACAATAACTACAGTTGGCAGGTATTAGTTGCTTCAGGTGTTGTTGAATATATCGATACCTTAGAAGAAGAAACTGTAATGATAGCAATGTCTCCATATGACTTAAAACAAGATAAAGACTACGCTTACTGTACTACATATACGCATTGTGAAATTCACCCCGCTATGATATTGGGTGTTTGTGCCTCAATTATTCCATTCCCGGATCACAATCAAAGTCCTCGTAACACTTATCAAAGCGCTATGGGTAAACAAGCTATGGGAGTTTATATAACTAACTTTCATGTTCGTATGGACACTTTAGCCCATGTACTTTACTATCCAATGAAGCCTCTAGTTACAACGCGTTCAATGGAATACTTGCGTTTCAGAGAACTACCGGCTGGTATAAATTCTATTGTAGCAATTTTATGTTATACAGGTTACAACCAAGAAGATTCTGTTATTTTAAATGCTTCCGCAGTAGAACGTGGATTTTTCCGTTCTGTATTTTATAGATCTTATAAGGACTCTGAAAATAAACGTTGTGGTGATCAGGAAGAAAATTTCGAAAAACCTAACAGACAAACATGTCAAGGAATGCGTAACGCTCACTACGACAAGTTGGATGATGATGGCATTATTGCGCCTGGCATACGTGTTTCAGGTGATGATGTAGTTATTGGTAAAACAATGACGCTTCCAGAAAATGATGATGAGGTAAATATTCAATAATTTATTTTTTAAGCTTTAATAATGGTAAATATTTTTAACTTTTAGTTGGATGGAACAACAAAACGTTATACAAAGCGAGACGCTTCGACATTTCTTCGTAATTCTGAAACTGGTATTGTGGATCAAGTAATGTTAACACTCAACAGTGAAGGATATAAATTTTGTAAAATACGTGTTCGCTCTGTACGTATACCACAAATTGGAGATAAATTTGCTTCTCGCCATGGCCAAAAAGGTACGTGCGGTATACAATATCGGCAAGAAGATATGCCGTTTACATGCGAAGGCCTAGCACCTGATATTATTATTAACCCTCACGCTATCCCATCTCGTATGACAATTGGACATTTAATCGAATGTTTGCAAGGTGAATATATATAATCTGAAGTATGTTAAAACTTATATTACATTTTCTTTACACAGGAAAGCTTGGATCAAATAAAGGAGAAATCGGTGATGCCACTCCATTTAATGATGCAGTTAACGTACAAAAAATTTCCACATTTTTACAAGAATATGGCTATCATTTGCGTGGAAATGAAGTCATGTACAATGGACACACTGGACGTAAAATTAATGCTCAAGTATGTGCAGTGTAATATCGAATATATTTGTAAAAAATAATCTTTTGTATTAGGTATTTCTGGGACCAACATATTATCAGCGCCTTAAACATATGGTCGACGATAAAATCCACTCTCGTGCGCGTGGTCCAGTTCAGATTTTGGTACGACAACCTATGGAAGGTAGGGCACGTGATGGAGGTTTGCGTTTCGGTGAAATGGAACGTGATTGTCAAATTTCACACGGAGCGGCACAGTTTTTACGTGAACGACTATTCGAAGTCTCAGATCCATATAGAATTCATGTGTGCAACTTCTGCGGACTGATTGCTATTGCGAATTTGCGAAACAACACTTTTGAATGTAAGGGATGCAAGAATAAGACACAAATATCTCAAGTACGTTTGCCGTATGCAGCAAAACTTCTTTTCCAGGAACTTATGTCTATGAACATTTCTCCACGTTTGATGGTAGTGTAAGCAGTTTAAAAACTCGTTTTTTTTTGTTTATAAATCATTTGTATCAATTAAATAAAATAAGCAATTTGATATAATACAAAAATCAATGTTTGTGTCTTATAAAACACTTAACTGTTAACTAGATTGTAATGAAAATTTATTAAATTATAATTTATTTATATAAAAAGTGAAAATGATAGCTTTGTTGTTGTAGTCCGCGTGGATTTGTTTACGTATTCTCTTTACCGGGTGATAAACGACACTTAGTTGTCGAATTGGACAATTGACTCCAGGATATACACGCGGTTTTTCTTGTAGCCGCAGTAGCTTAGTTCTGGGCTGTTTTTAATATAAACGATATTCATAAAAATGCTATTGTAATATTTGTATCATACATGGAATTATTTAAGTGTGTTCAAATTTGCCCACAAATAGCAGATCCGTTCAACACTTAGTGTTTAGAACGTAAAATTTCGTCATTGGGATCGATTACCAATTTTTATCCTTAAATAAATATATTTAATATTAATTAAAATTTAATAATTACGGATGAGTGGGCATTTGTTTTTAAGGAGTCAGGAAAATAGAAATATACTACATAAACTAGTATACGATGGATCAATGTGCAGTTCAAATGAAATGCAATTCGCATATAGGTAATAATTTTTTAAAATCTAAGTAGCAAAGTACGTCGGAGAAGGGTCTAAAATAAATCTCTGAAGTTTTAAGTCTTCAAATCGACCAAACTAAATTATACAAATAAAGAAGGAAATGCGAACATTTTTTTAAATATATTTATTAGAATACTTGTTAAATTTTATCTTTACAAAATTATTATTTGGCGATAATAATAATAACTAATAATTAATTATAATTAATTATTATAAACCTTAAGTTAAGCTTTTTATTAAAAATTAAGCACTGAAGATGTTCTAAAATAAAGAACGAAATATCTGCTTCTAAAATTTTTAAATAAAAGCGTTTTATTGTGGTTTGTCTGATAGCTGAAAAAATTTTTCAACTTAAATAATTATTAATAGCAGAAAAGTACGTTCGTGGGAAGTTTATCGATAAATTCGCAAAGACGTGCACCTCTGCATTCTTCGATATCGAACAGCTGATGTGCTTTAACCAAACCTTGACGTTAAAAACCAAAACAATGCGGCAGCCGTTAACACATTATAGTAAATTAATTTTAGCTGGTTTGTTGCCCATTAGCGAGACATCTGAAGATGACGTGTCGAAGGAATCGAAAACCTACAAAAAATTTGAGAAACGCAAGCCAGATAATGAAACTGGTGTTGATAGGCTGAAGGCGATGTTTCAATTGGAGTATTACATAAATATTTTACAAAAGTTTCAATAATTCACATACATTCTTACGAACATTTTAGAAGCGAGTTTCACACCATATCACCAGAGTTAAACTCAATATACCAAGGCGGCTTTGTAGGATTTCTAATTGGAGCTGTTTATGGTGGTGTGATTCAGTCTCGTGAAGGCTATATGCGTTTTATGGAAAATAATGAGGCAACAGCATTTGAGTCTCATTTGGACGCGAAAGTATGTGAAATATTGGATAAACTTATTGATATTAATTTAATATTTTCACGTAATAGCGAAAATTGCAAGATCAGTTTACGATAAATTTTGCTAAAGGCGGTTTGAAGTGGGGATGGCGTCTAGGTCTTTTCACAACCTCATACCTGTAAGTAATTTTCGCCAAGAGTGTTTGTGCTTAATGTTTTAACAATTTTTGATTTTTAAGCGGTATAGTCACTTGTATATCTGTGTATCGCAATAAATCTTCCATCTTTGAGTACTTAGCAGCAGGAGGTCTAACTGGAGCTCTGTATAAAGTAAACATGGGATTGCGGGGTATGGCTGTGGGAGGTATTGTTGGTGGAATTTTGGGTGGTGTTGCTGGAGCTAGCTCGCTACTAATAATGAAGGCATCTGGAACTTCTATGGAAGAAGTCAGATATTGGCAATACAAGTGGCGTACTGATCGTGATGATGACATAAAAGAAGCAGTAAAGGTACAACGGTGACTTAATAACAATATCTTATATCTTACAGTAAATATTTTCTAGATTCAATTGGAAAAAACTGAAAGATCTGCAGAAATAATAAAGCATCACGAACAGAAAAAAGGTCATAAAACAACTTTAGAAGAAATCTGATTAGTTTAATTTAAGTTTATTATTGTAAATGAATAAAAAATATATATGTAATTTTTGTTTTTTATATTGTAAAATTGTTAGTTGAGTAACACAAAATTTTATTTTTATTCCTTTCACAAGGACAAATTTATATTCCAATATAAGACAACACTATGAACGACTTCGAAGAGTGACATTATTACTCCCGTTTGCTATGCTTTACAGTTTAGTCATTTAAATGCGAGTATAAAAGCAAATAAAATAATCTGAAAGTAATCCTGCTACTTTAAGATTCTTCTTGAGGGCGGGTTAACCGTTTTGCACCACGATTTGGTGGTCCTTTGGGTTTGGCAAATGCTGGTCGATGTAGAATTTTCTTTGGATGTAATTCATCTTGTAAAAAGTCTTCTGTTAACTCCGTACCGCTATCGATTTCCAACTATAAATTAATTACCATAATAGAAACAACGTTTCCATATTATCACGAGATGAACTTACCCTTTTTACAACATCAACACCTAAAGAATTTAAATGATCCAAAAATGGAGCTTTACAACTAGAATACATCATTCGCTCGCGTACTGAACATGAATAGCCAGGCATAGAATATATGAACACAAATGCCTCCTGATAGTCACCCTCGTGTGTGTGCTTAAACATGTACAAATGATAACGCGCATGATCTTCAGGTATGTGTTTTGGTAATTCTAATAGCGGAACCACAGCGGCATGTGATACATGTATACATTCTTCGTCTAGATCAATTCGAAATTGTAAATAATCATAGGAGCCTTTTACTAGATCTTTAATTGCATCAATAGTCGCGTCGCTAAGAGGGCAAGAAATACCACCGAGTGTTTGATGGCGCGTATCAGTGTTTACATCAGTTTTTACTTCAGCTTTACGAAGTTCAGCTAGCTCTTCTTCACGCGAAGTTAAAGGAGCGGGGGTTGCAAACGCTTTTTTATGCCGATTGTAACCGTCAAGTGTAGCCTCATCGGCGGAAGTACAGTGAATTTCTTCTGTGATGTGTGCTGAACCAAATTCAGTCTTTAATGTCGCTTTTGTTGATGCATAAACCATCTTCTGTCTTATGCTCGCTGCGTCTGGCACCCATGATAATAGTAACCATGCATGTCCCATCGACGTTTTCGTATCTAAACGATACAAAATATAGCAAGGAACATTTTCATCCAACAATGGTGTTATAAGCTTATCATAATCTCTCTCCCAGTCTTTTTTGACTTCCGTCGTACCACTACAAGTTAATTCCTCTGTGAAGCTTTAAATGATTACGATATTCACATTAAATAAAGAGATAATAATTACCATTTTCAATTGAAACTTTTATAACACGAATTTTTCCATTTTTGCTTTTACCAAAAATTTTACTCAACTTTTCATTTGCTAAAATAAGAATATAACATATAATTTATTTGAGTTTAGTCTTTTATTAAAATTGTATTTTACCTTTAATGCCTGTTTGGTGGGACATTTTAATTGAAATTTAGTTTGTGCAAAACTTTTACCGACTCAGTGCTTTTATTTTTAATTCTATTACTCAGAGCACACAAAAAGAAATATACATGTACCCTGAGGAATTCACAATAAACACTTAAACAAATAAAGGGCTTATTTCAATAAAGCATTAAGAAACAAAAGGTGCTTTCGGCAGCTTTTAAAAATGTTGCAAAACACAGCAAGTTGCTTACTATAGACACTAAGCGATATATCGGCATCACTGTCAACTAATCTGTCAAGTATTATGTTTTGTCAAATTACATATTGTATAAAAATAAATAATTAATATAAAATTGAAAATTAAAATTAATACAGAATTAAAACGAACGGTAAGAATGTTGGATATTTCAAAATAAAACACTAAAATTTTACTTTTTCCCCAATTTTCAAATTTATGAAATTTTTGTACTTTGTTTGAATTTTTGTTTACTTATGATATATGACATATGTTTGCAATAATCTTTGGAATTTCCAATGAAGGTTTACAATAGTTTGCTTATTGCGTTGATATCACCTTTTTCTTTACTGGCTGATGTATTTGGCCAGTATACCTATACTAGTAGAGGTAGAGAAACTAGTGTTGTTTTGCACATATTTCAACTTGCTGTTTTTTGCCACATTTGTAAGCCACCAAAAACGCTTAATATTGTATTGATATATATATGGCAACAATATATTTCTTCTTTTCGACAACTTAATCTGTCCAATATTAAGTAGTTTTCTTAGGGCCATGTTATGCAGAGTGTCTCGGGCACGGCAAATTACGCTCTTTCGGGCTATGCCGAAAATGCATGTTATGCAGAGTGTCACATCAGTATTGCCAATCTGTATTTTTACTACTTCTTGGTTGTGCCTAAATTTAAAAGGAAATTTAGATATGCTCACTTTCAATTTGCCACCAAAAATAACTCGCATGAAAAAACACATAGAGACTGTAATAATGTTAATTTATTATTATATTATCTTATAATAATTGTTAACAGTACTTACGCGTTTCTTTAAAATCGGAAAGTGTAATAATTATATTATTAGCTATTTATAAAAAAAATGCTGTGCTGCTTACTGCCCTTTTTTCCTCCAAAACGTACTAGAATTGTAGTAGTTTGCTCCTAAAAGGCGCAAATTTTGAAATTTATTACTAAACAACACTGTTTTGCCGTAGTGCCGGGCAAAGAATACTTTTACAAGAAGGAAATTCATACATTCCCTTAAATGACTTACATCCCATCACGCAATTTCGCACCATCTTCAAATATTAATAATAATATATAATAATTTGCTATAATAATAATTATAATAAATATAATTATTTTTTCAAAGAAACTTATTCACTACTTTTTATAAGTCAGTTTGATTTTACTACGTTTTTCAGTTTTTGGCGCATTTCTGCTGTCAAAATAACTAAACAAAGCCCAATTTGCGCTCTTCATATTGCTCTTTCGTAATAAAAAAAATTAAGACCGTTCGTGGTGGTGAAACGTTCCGTTCGGGGTGGTAAAACTTTTCAGTCGTGGTGGGTCGAATTGCAACAACAAAACAACGTGCTTGATTTGGTAGTAGTAAATTATTTTGAGAGGGTATTGGTTGGTTTTTTTGTTTACATTTAAGTTGCCGTTCTTGTACAAGTATTCTTTGGTGCCGGGGCACAAATACGCCGGCTCTCATGCCGGAGTTTGAACGGCCATATTGTTTTTTCTCTCATTCTCAAATTTAAAATTGCATTGAAAAAAACAACAATTGTACTCATGCCGTGCCCGAGACACTTTGCATAACATGGCCCTTACAAAAAACAAATGCGCCTACTTTCTACGTATTCATTTGCTTTTCTGTCTAAACATTTCTTCTGTTTAACTAAAACGTCTAACCGGCGTTTCAAAGAAACCTTAATTCGTACATACAGTCGGAGTCATAAGTCTACAAGCAGGCAGTACAAAAAACTTTGTTTGAAAATATTTTCCAAAAAAATCAATTTATAGGAAACATATTTTATTGTTTTTTTATAACATTCAATGCACAATGTTTTTGCGAATTGTCATTTGTTCAAAAAACAGCCGAGATAACGGTACTTTTATCGTAAAGAGTAGCAAAACGAACGATCAGAAGTCTACAAGCTCTTGGTATTTCTGCAGTTCGTTGGCGAGTTAAATGTTAATTGGTGATATTTTGGATTGCATCTTACTGTGTTTGTGGTAATTAATCATAAAACTGCAAAAAATTGTATTCTGCTTAAAAAATTTACTAAAAATGGCAATGGCGTCTCACCGGAAAGAAATAAGCGTCGCTGAAAGAAAAATCATCATAAAATTTTGGGAGGAAGAGAAGTTGAACCAGGAAATTAAGCATTTGTTTTGAAGATCGCATTGTTTGGTTCATACCGTGATCAGAAATTGGAAAACTACCGGAATTATCACTTCAAAGCCCCGTTTTGGTCGCCTATCAAAATTCATTCAAGAAAAATCCACGTTTGACGGCATTTGAAATTGTACATAATATACAGGAAAGCTTTGCAAAAAATATTTCTGTGGTTACCGCACGCAAAATTATGAAATGAGCCGGTTTTCATGGTAGAGTGGGCCAGGAGTTGCGAAGGCTTGTATCTCAGATCGATGGAAAATTGGGCTGGGTGAAATATTTTATAACGCCTGGTGAAATACCTTCGTACTAGAATTAATAAAAAACCATCTATACGCTCGATTTGAAAAGACTTGTAGATAGCGGAGTTGTGAAATGATTATAGATCTGTTCGATCGGCTCGGTTTGCTAAGAACTTATTCTTAGAACACTTTCAAAATGTTTCTCAATTTCGTTGCTCATTTCTGTTTTTATGGTTTCGCTCGACATGAGTCGAACTTTGCAGCAATATTTTGCAGCATAATATCGCCTTATAACTGTATTAAGTTAAAAGTGTCAAACAAATAAAATTACAATTACTTCTGCTGCGTAAATAGGCTATTAAATTAGTTTATTTGTTTTAACATTAAAACAAATATATATATATCGCTTAGAAATAGTTTAGAGAAGGCAATTTTAAGTTTAGTGGTTTTAAACATTATTATTTATGGAAACATATAAAAATTAGTTTATATATTTAAATGATACCTTGATACCATTAGAGTATAAAATACCCCCTTAGGACCATGTTACACAGGCAATAAATTAACGTGAAACACTCCATTTGTTGTCGTTGCAAAAGTGCTTAAATGAATATATTTAAGTAGCGTATGCAAAGAGAAATGGCTCCCTTTGCCAATATAGTCTACAAATAATGCACTGCAAAAACACTAACAAAAAAATTTTTAGTTTATCACTCATTTTCTACAATCCCGCCAAAAGTCTACTAAGTTTGCTGACAAATTTCAGTAAATAATACGTATTTACATTCAAATATTCGAAACTTGTCAGTGTAGACGCTGAGTAAAGCTTAACAAATATTTTCACTTTACAAAAAATGATTTTGTGTCCAATACATAACCTCAATAGAAGAGTAATTCTTATTCTCTCTTGACGTTTTTACATCAGCTGTCAACATCGCAGTGGCATTCGTTTCAGTGAGCGTCGTTGTTGCGTACGTATGATTTTGCAATTCTGGTGAATGTAAAAAGTGAAAAGCTTCTTGTTATTGCAACAATCATAATATTGTATATTTTTTTGTTTATTAAAAAAGTGTGGTATCTGGGTTAAAAAATGAGTGAATTTTTTAAATCTGCGATGGGATATTTTAACACACCAACTCCACAATCTACTGCAAGTGGCGGAGGAAATACTACTAACGAATTTTGTGGACAAATTGTTAACATATCAGGGCAGAAATTACGTGTAAAAAGCGTGATAGCTGAAGGTGAATAATAGTAAAAAGTCCCTTAATTTAAATTATTTTTAAAATTAATACCCCTGGCAAATAGTGTTCTTACAAATTGCAAACGAAAAATCAATAGAGCAAGTAAAGTGTCCAAGTATATGTAAACAAAGAAAAACTAAGTGGGTACAAAACAGCTGTTAACTGCTTCAATGGGTGATTACGAATGAAGACTTCAAAAATTTATGTATTGAAATTATGACTTTTACTTAAAAATCTCAATTTAAACATAATAAATTATATACGTACATATTAGTATATAAAGTATAACAAAATACTGCACGAAGCTAAAATAATTCTAGTGAAATGTGTACATGCACAGAAACGTTTAGATATTTGTTATCAACCCCGTTCTTATATACATATATGTAATTCACATACTTAATATTTCTACTGGCTCTGTTATCAGTTTCCTATTGTATATTAAAAAATCACAAATTTTATCTACAATTTACAGGCGGGTACGCGTTTGTATATGTAGCACAAGATATACAAACAAACAGAGAGTACGCCCTAAAGCGTCTTCTTGGTGCAGATAAACAAGCTTGCAATGCAATCATAAACGAAATAAACACACATCAACAGTTGTCAAACCATCCAAACATTGTTTCGTTCGAGAATGCTATGTTTATAGACAAAACTTCTGGACCACAGCAACGTGCCGAGTATCTGTTGCTCACTGAACTATGTAAAGGAGGATCACTCATTGATTGCTTACAGCAAACTTTGGATCCGTCGTTGGTATTGCGAATTTTTTATCAAGCTGCTCGAGCTGTTTCGCACATGCATAGCCAAACACCTCCAATAATACATCGTGATATTAAAGTAGTTAATAAAAATAATATTAATGAAATCGTTAAAACTTTTTTAATATTTTAGATTGAAAACTTTCTTATCGGCAATGATAAACAATTAAAACTTTGCGATTTTGGTTCTTGTACAAGGGAAATATATTTGCCATCATTGGAATGGGGTGCAACACAAAGGGGTGTTCTGGAAGAACAAGTAAGTATGCATACATAGCTTTTGCTCTAATTACTCAATATATTTTGACAGCTAAATTCCGTCACAACGCCTATGTACCGCGCACCTGAAATGCTCGATACTTGGTCAAATTATGAAATTGGGACTAAATTAGATATATGGGCTCTAGGCTGCATACTTTATGTTTTATGTTTTCAAAAGCATCCATTTGAGGATTCAGCCAAACTACGTATTGTAAATGGAAATTATATAACACCAAGTGATTCTCGTTATAATTGCTTTCATGAAATAATAAAAGGTAGATCAACCATATTTTTACTACATACAAAAGTTATCAAAACTTTATATAATTACTTTAAGAATTATGCTTTGATGAAGTTTTCTTTATTCTGTATAGGTTGTCTTACTGTAAATCCATCACAACGATTTAATATTTCAACGATTCTAGAGCGTTTGGCTGCGTTAAGTGAGACTCGAAATTGGTCACTTAAAGGTGCTTTAGATTTACATGGCAAACCAATTGACACATCACCAGTAGAGCAAATTAATGGCTCAATTGTTACACCACAGGTAAAACCTATAGGATCACAACAGAGTCAGTCCATGTTTTATACTGATGATATACCAGCACAAAATACACGTACAACTCAGCCGCAAAACAATCAGTGTCAAAATCCTCCAGTTCCTAGTAATTCTTCTATCACTAGCAATACAAACGGTAGTATATTTTCATCACTTCGAGGGGGTGCAGGTAGTTTTCTTAAAAATCTAAAGGACACATCATCAAAAGTTATGCAAACAATGCACCAGACCATTGCTCGAAATGATTTAGATATTAGTTACATAACCTCCCGTTTGTTAGTAATGCCATGTCCTTCAGAAGGCTTTGAATCAGCTTATAAAACAAACAATATTGATGATGTTCGACTTTCAATAGAAAATCGTTTTCCGCCGCAAAAAGTAAGTGTGTACAATTTTGGCTCTCGAAATTGCCCCCGTCTAGCACCACCTGTGCGCACTGTTGAAGTTGGTTCTATATTCGCTTGTCTTCAATCTCATGCGCCTAACTTACAGGTCTGTTCAGCAATAATTTGTAAAAAAAAGAATATTATATATTTTATTAATTTTTTTATTAATGATTAGGGCATATTTTCGGTAGCTGAAGATATGTACGGTTTTTTAAACGCAGATTCCAAATCTATAGTAATAATACAAACAAGTGATTCAGGAGGTTGTGCAGCTGCGACAATTGTTTGTGCTTTACTTATGTACTCGGATTTAATTCAAGAACCTGAGGATGCTATACAAGTATTCGCTGTCAAGCGTCATCCCATTAACTTAAGACCATCCGAGTTTCGCTATCTATATTATTTTGGTGACATTTTACGCCCTACACCATTACTGCCACATTATAAAACTGTGAACTTGGTATCTTTGGACTGTCAACCAGTGCCACGCATGACTAAAGCACGGGATGGATGTCGTTTTTTTATAGAAGTATATTGTAATGATCGTATGCTGCTTACAACAGTACAGGACTATGAAAAAATGAGGTTATTTATAATTGACTTAGATGTTAGATGTTTATAACAATCTGTTGGTTACAGGCTATACTTGACTAGTCCAGGTAAAATAACATTACCTATTAATGTAACTGTGTGTGGAGACTTGACAGTGGTACTTTACCATGCAAGGAACGGACTCAAAGGCATGGTACGACCTCAAAGTCTAAAGATTTGTCAATTTCAAATACATACCGGTTTTATACCGGAACAAGAGACTCTCATAAACTTCACTACAAATGACTTGGATGACTTGCCAGATACTGAACAAGTTTCTCAGGATTTTACAGTGTCTTTGTCATTAAATGTGTCTGACAACGAGAAACCACCAAGTAGAAACCCTCCGTGGTTACCTGCAAAACCTATGAGGAACCCACATAATTTATTTAGTTCACAATTAGAATTTGAAGAAATGATTGATAATTTCGGTAAAATGAACAAATGAAATTTTTTTACATTTTTACAATAATTCTCTTATAGTAACTAAACCGGTTCCAAACAGACCTGCTGAAATAACGAGGTCTTCATCAATTAAATCAGCAGTTTCAATACAAAAGAATTCACGACCAAACTCACCTTTAATTTTACCAGATGTTACAGAAATTCACCACGAAATAGCGCAACCGATACCAGAGCCATCACCACCAATCGATTTGCTAAATTTAAATCAACCAAATACCTCACAGTTACCACACAATTCTCCACCCACTGTTATACCTACGTCTGATGCTAGCTTCGATTTGTTGGGTGCGTTTGGGGATGATGATTCCTCCGGCATAGGTTCAGCTCCTATTCCAGATATTTTAGGTAAGTCAATAATCAAATATTTTCTTTGTAATATTATTAATTTCTAATCTATTTTTCAAATAATTTCAGCTGACAATTCGCAACCAAAATTAACAGCAGGTTTAGACGATATATTCGGTTCTTTGGATTCCTCAGCGCCTACTATTAATATAAATTATAACGCGTTTGTACCTAAACACTCTACATCAGCAACAAGCACAGTTGGTCATAATTTTTCGAATACGTCACCTATTTTACCAACTCCATTAAATTCGTCAAATGTACCTGGTTTCAGTAAAAAGACAAATAGTAAGGACGCATCCCCTCAGCAAGTATGTGTATGCAAACTGTTTGAAATTTTTTGTGCATACGGTTTTTTCCTTATTTTTGACAGATGAGTGATCCGTTTGCTGATTTGGCCAACTTAGCTTCGGGACTAAATATTAATTTTAATGCCAATGCAATTGGTGGAAAATCGAATGGTACAACACCTATTGGTAATAGTCCATTTACCACACAATTTTCAAGTCCCACACATAATTCTGGACTACGTATTCCACAAGCACAGCAATCCGCAAGTTCGTCACCGAACCATATGCAATCGCCAAATGGACCAACTAATTCCAATAGACCATCGCCGCAATCAACCCCACAACCAAGTGCCAATACTAATACACAAAATTCTCAACGTCCTGACTATAATCGAGCACACTTCGAAGCACCAAAATCATCTCAAAATGCGAACACACAATCAAAAAATGCTGATATATTTGCAGACATTTTGGGTGAACAGGGTTATAAGTTTGGAAGTAAAGGAAATCAAGGACCACGCTCCATTAATGATATGCGTAAAGAAGATTTAATCAAAGACATGGATCCAGATAAAGTTAGAATAATGGAATGGGTTAGCATATAAGATCATGAAATCTTTTAACAAAGGTTTTTATTTATTTTTTTGTTTTTTTTTTAAGACCGAAGGTAAAAAGAGTAACATACGTGCGCTTCTTTGCTCTATGCACACCGTATTATGGACGGATGCAAAGTGGAATAAGTGTGAAATGTCAACCCTGATAACTGCAGCAGATGTTAAAAAAGCATACAGGCGTGCTTGTTTAGCTGTACATCCCGATAAGGTATAACCGATTTACATCTAAATTTGATTCATTAATTTATTTTCTTAATATTTGCAGCACAATGGAACAGATAATGAGGAAATTGCGAAACTTATTTTTATGGAACTTAATAATGCATGGACAGACTTCGAAAATGATTCCACACAGCAAAATATTTTTAACAGTTAAAATTTATGTATAATTTTAGATATAAAGAGGTTAATCAAAATTTGCTTATGATTTAATCGTTAAACGAAATTGTTTAAGTTTATAACTGTGCATACCCAACAGAAGTTTCGCTATTCCAATCATTTAAATTTTAAGCCAATGAGATATTATAATAATTGCTCATGTGTTACGCTATATATGTATTATTGCTATATATGTATGTATGTATAACACAGATTGTACTACTTTATTAAACATTTATATTGAATTGTGCCTCATAACTTTTGTTAAATTTTTTTATTAATTTCATTTTGAAAATTCTAAATATTTTCTAAAATAACAAAAAGTTTACTTAATTTCCTGAAATAGAATATTTTATTTAAGTTTCCTTGAATTAAGATTTAAATATAACAATATATATATAGTTTATCAATTTCATATTTTCTTGTTATTTGCGAGACTGTTTTTTATAAGTATTAAAATGGATTTATGCAAAAAAATGTTAAAAATATGTAAACAGTTTTTAAGGCAAAGTTCTGAAAGAAATAATTAAATTTATAATTCTGCTGTTATTAATTGCCAAAGGCAACGAACTATTTCCAACGTCTATAATTTACGTATGTTTATAAATATTTGACTCTTTTATTTGTATTACCCATCTAATTGAAAACAATTTGCCTTTGTCCATTCCAAATAATGTAAAACATTTAGATTATAAATAGAAATCTCTTTACAGGCATTTTGTAAACAATTATTGTGGCTATCCTATAAACATATTTTTTTCTAAACAAGCAAACTTTTTAAATTTAATTATGAAAAGTGTGTACATAATTACATAAATAGTTCACAGTTAAAAAATTGTGACTGCAGTGTATCTACTATTTGTCTACGATGGTTCAAAATCATATAGTTATGTATATAAAAGAGAGAGATTATATAAGCAAAATATATTTAAAAAATTATAATTTTCAAATATTAAAATATAATTTCAATAATGTATTGTTTTTGTTTTCTATTTGATTTTTTTGCCAGCAACAAAAACGTTTACGATGTTTCGGTCATCTCCAACATAAATGAATTTTTGTACCAATTCAAGCAGTTTGTGTTCGGCCGCCGCAGTGCTGTTCGCATCAAAGTTATGCAGAGGATGTATACTTGTATCAATGATTAAGGCATCAAATTCTTTGCCTTTAATGAAATTGCCTGTAATATGGTCAACAGCTAAAGCCTGAGCACCACCAAGCGTAGCTAAAAATATTGCTTGTTTATAGTTGATAGGCGCGTATTCGTCTTGAGATGGCTTCAGCGTACCACTGCCTTTTATATCTTGTTTCTTAACGAATTCTAGATGATGTGAAACATCAAGAGCGCGCAATATTGCATCTTGAATGGACACCGAATTTCCACCAGATACATCTTAAACAACAATTATGTTTAATTATATCTCATAGCAATATTTTAACAATTTAAAATACCTGTGCCTAAACCCACTTTCACTCCTTTTTTAATAAGACGTAATACATCGCAAAAGCCGGAACTCAACATGGTATTTGAAGCAGGACAATGAGCAACAGATGTGCCCCTTTTCTTTAACAATTCAATTTCATCATCTTCCAAATGCACAGCATGTGCCATTATGGTCTATTTCAATTAAAAAATTTTCAACTTAAAACTATTTATCAAATGCGATATTTGTGAACTATACCTTTTCAGTGAGCAACCCGGCAGCGTCATATGCCTCGGCATATGATGATGAAAATATAGATTTCACAAACTCAACTTCTGAAATGCTCTCGCTTATATGGCTCTACACAAATTTATAAAAAATGACAAATTCTGCATGAAGCATTGATTTTTAATTTACTTTACTTGTATGTGCAAATTATATTCCTTAGCAATTTCACCTAACTGAGCTAATAGCTCTTTCGTACAGCTAAGAGCAAATCTTGGAGTTATAGTAGGTTGCACTAAATCTGTATTTAATTTTTTCATATCATTTACAAAATCCATTGTAGCAAAAACTGATTCCTCTGTTGTTTCACTAAAAAATATTTGTATATTTAAATTAAATTAATTTCAGAGGTCAATCTTTTATACAGACACATAGAAATCAGGGCTATTGCAGTTGGAACATACTTTGCCAACCAATGCACGTTGACCTTGTCTACAGGCTTCCCTAGCTAATATCAAAGTGCTGTCTTTGTTGTTAGTTCCAAAATACGAAGCTAGAGTTGTGCCACATTTTATAGTTGATTCCTAAAAAGCGATCTAGAGAATAAGCTTACACGTATACATATCAAGATTGATGTATGTTATACAAATACAAACATACATACATGTACACACATATAAATAATATAAAAGATTGATATTATATTTTACTGTTAATACTATTAATTAATGAGTACTATTATCGGTGATAACGAGCTCAATTAAAAGTAATTAAGTGTTCAACGTACCACGACTTTTTTATAAACTCTAGCAGCAAAATTTTGATCGGCAAATTTTGCTTCAAGTGGGAATGTGTATGTGTTCAACCAATCAAGAAGTGGCATATCTAAACCTAGACCAATCTGGGCAACTTGCGGCGCATGGATATGACAGTCAACTAGACCTGGCATTAGAAACTGTTCCTCTTTTAGATGAATTTCTTTTATTTCAGTAAACTTAGCAATGTTTTTAGATTGCCATAACTGAAAGTTGCTGCCAGTATCAATAATCTGAGAGGTGACAAAAAATTTAATGTTCCATAAGCTCACGTAAAGTATTTTCAATTACCGTGCCATTTTCATCCACTGCCACAAATCCATTAGTAAAAATTTCGAAATCATTTAATGATTTCGTGTGCACAATTTGACCAATAAAAGCTTTGACCATTGTGAACTTGTATGTGTTTATCTCAAGAAAACCAACCTGTTACTAAATGTAAGCACTGCTCGAATGACTAAAAGCGAACTATTATCAATTCAACTATCAACATTTCTTTAGAGATGATAAATATGAAAACCGGAAATAGTTTCGTAATCGGTAAAGCGTTTGAGTATAAATGAATGTCTACCTCAAACCAAAATCGATACACTAATCCCAATATAATAGTTGTTAACAAAATAATTTAAATCAAAATCACACATAATTTTTAACATTATACCCATGTTTTTATTTTTGTCAAAAACTATGATCATAAGTGTGTTTTTACGGCCCTCCAATCTGTAGAGTGATTGGTATTGGTCCGTGATCGCATCTAGTCTGGACAGCCCTGTTCTAAAAGAATAGACCATACTATTCAAATATATATGTATATATTATATCAACTCAAACATTATTAAACTTTAACAAAAGACTCCAAACTTTGTTAATAAACAAAAACACGAATCTTTAAGAATCCAAAACATGAGCCTAGACAGCAACGACGCTGAGAGGACCAAGCCGGACTTGGAACACGAAATTTTTCTAAGTTTATTAATTTGTCAAAATTAGCAAAATTTAAGCTTTTTCACCAAGTTTGAAATATGATTTAGATAGAAAATTCAATTATCTTTCATTTGGTATATACCTCATAACTGTATGTTACGTAATAGCTGAGATATTCAAAAAATAAAAAAATCAAATTTTTTGAAAAAACTGACTTTTTTTACTTAAAAAATAATTAAAAAACAACCACAAACGGCCCCGACATGCACGAATACTCACCTGAAAGGTAATAAAACAAGCTTTCAATTAAAGTAAAAACCAGAAAAATCGTACATACAGTATTTGCGCAAAATCGTATTAAAGTTCGATATCAAAAGTGCTTAAATATCATTCAAATCAAAAAAGTGAAAATGCAGAATGTTCAGAAATACATCACAAAATACAATTTTAAAAATTGATAAAAAATTGATAAAAAATAGCATTTTTCTTTAGCTTACTTTACTGTAATCATTATATCCGTGTGTGCAAAAACAGCCCTACAATGGAATTAATTTTCCTTTAAAGACAATAAAATTTCCTTTCCAAAAACCTTAAAATCATAAAAATCGTACATACAGTTTTCCACAATTATTTTTTAAAAACTGTCAATTTTTTACCTAAAATCCAATTATTTGAAAAAAATCTTCATACTCACAGGCACGGTTGCCACTTATGGTACTTTAGTACCAAAATTGGTACTTTTTTTATTTTTTCTTCGTTTGGTACTCATATTCAAAAAATGGTACATTTTTGACGACCCAACTTTATTGTGGATATTTTCAATTAATTTTTTTTATAAATGCAACTTTGCACTATTTTATATTTTGTTCATTTATAACACCATGAAAAACACAGAACGAAAAAATAAAAAGGTCCAACAAAATTTTGGACCTTTTTTTACAGAAATGGTACCTTTTTAAACCAATTTTGGTACAGGAAAAAATTTTCAAGTGGCAACCGTGCTCACAGGGCCAAATGCGGAGCAAACTCAAGGCAGGCGTGCCAGCGCCATCTAAATTTCAAGTATCAATAATATGTTTGTATTTTTTTACGCAAGTATTGCGAATAAATGAATAACTAAATATTTGAATAGAAAAAGCGACTATCATATCTAAAAATATTAATTAAAAAATAACTATAATATAGATCCAATTGCACACGAAAACCATTAAAGATAATAAAACACACTTTCAATTGCAACATAAATCAGAAAGATTGATTTTGTCTTCACCCCAGGAAATTTAATCAAACATGAAAATTAATATTTCTTTTAAAACACTTGTTTTTAAAAAAGTAAAGATGAGAAATATTAAGATATACAATATAATGCATAATTGTAAAATATCAACAAAATATTTCAATTATATCATAGAAATTTCAATAAAAATAAGGAATTTTTTTCATGGTATGCATTTATATATCGAAATAAATTTTTATGCATAAACGGCCCCTCAATCATTTATACATCCCCATAAAGATGAAGAAATTTCCTTTTCAAAAAGCTAAAAAACTTAAAAGTCGTGTATACAGTTTTTTTATAATCATTTTTTAAAAATTTCTCTATTTTTTAACAAAAATTCAATTTTTTTAAATAAATAAATTATGTCACAGCGCTATGTGCGGAGGAAATTCAAAGTAGATGGAATGGTTCGATCGAAATTTTGAGTCTAACAAGAACACTTATCAATGTTACAAACCATTTCTTTTTGGAAATGCTTGATATGTTTAGAATCTGTCAATGTTTATGCAAAAAAAAATTCAGTGGCGGAATAAAAAAAGTGAAAGCAATTTTATAACACTATAGCTTTCTAAACTCTTGATATAAAAAACATATTAAACATATAATTAATGGAAATTAAAAAATAAGGAAAATATATAAATAGATAAAATAAAATTAAAACTTATTTAGTGAACTATAAATTGGTGACATGTACTAGAATCTGTCAATTAGACAAATTATAAAATTCGTATCAGATATAAGACAATAAATAAATATAAAAAATATACAATTTTATGTTGATGTACTTTTTATATTTTACATGTTAATTTTTATCCATTAAAATTAAAAAGCAATCACATTTTTCATTTATTTTAATTTTATATGATTATATTTGCTTTTACAAGTATTTACTTTTAATCAGACTATGTATGTATGTATGTGCATAGGTATAAAATATAGCTGGCGTCACAATAGTTTCGTGCATTTTTTTCTATGCGCATGCAATCATCAAGTTTATGCTTTATATGCTTATAATAATTATTAATAAGCATTTATTTATTAAATATGTGTATTAATTGGTTTTACTTATTTTTATATGTACATTGATTTCAATTTAGTTCTAAACAATACATTCAAATATATGTAAAACGGAGACTTAAAACATATTTTTTCCCCACCCGTCTGTCTGTCGCCATTTGATAATAATGCACGTGGTTATATGCAATCCTGAAGCAAAAAAAATAGTCTGTGGCATACGCGACGGGAATTTACAAAAGCGGCTTCTGGCGAATGACCAGTTAACATTAAAAATAGCGTAGGAGGAAGCTATTGCATCAGAAACAACACAAAAAAATGCGACGGAACTTAAAACGTCAGACAGCCTGCCAGGTTTGAATAAAATTTCAAGGAATATGTTTTATTCGTGCTCCAGTGGACCATACTCAGATCAGTGCAAATTTAAAGACGCGGAATGTTATTATTGCAAAAAGCGTGGACATATTGAGAGAGCTTGCATAAAAAAAGAAAAAACCAAAAAGCCAGCAATAAATAGTTGGAGAAGGCCAAACAGAGTAAATCTTTTAGACACAAGCCAGGAAACTCAAACGACGGAGTATTTATGGTCAATGTTCGCTAAAGGTAGTCCATCGGTCAAGAGATTGATTACGATAGGTAAGTCACCGGTACAAATGGAAATAGACTCTGGGGCAAGTTACTCAATAGTAAGTGAAAAGTTATTTAGAGAAAAAATGCCGTATATTCCGCTAAAACGAAGTCAAATACAATTAAGAACTTGGGGAACAGAGAAAATCTTAAACTAAGTGGAGAAGCAGAAGTACCAGTCTCGTTTGGGAATGTCACAAAGAAACTAAAGTTGTTAGTAGCAGCGGGTGATGGTCCGACTCTAATTGGTCGAAATTGGTTTAACGATTTGGGAATTAGTATAACCAGCAATTTATGCAATATAGAATCAACTATTCCAGTAGAAGTTATGAACTTCAGTTCAGTTTTTTATGGAAATATTGGAGATTACAAGGGAGCAGCATTAAAGAAGATGGAAGATGAAGGCGCACTACGCTCAATACCCTTTAGTGAGTAGGCAACACCGGTTGTACCTATTATTAAACCAGATGGTAGCATACGCATTTATGGAGATTATAAGTGCACAGTGAATCAAATGCTTTGCAAGGAAACGTATCCATTACCTACTAATACAGAAGTACTAGCAAAATTAGCAAATTGTAAGTGGTTTACAAAGCTGGATTTAGATGGAGCGTATACACAGGTGAAAGTTGACCAAGAATCAGCAAGGATACTTACACTAAACACACATCGCGGACTTTTTGAAGTTACAAGATTACCGTTTGGAATTTCAACGGCACCAGGTATTTTTCAACGGGTAATGAAAGGAGTTCTTAAGAACATAGATGGTGTGATTATTTATTTAGACGACATTCTAATTGGCGGAACAACTCTGGAAGAGTTGTGGGATAGAACACGAACTGCTCTGAAATGTGTACCGGATGCAGGATTGAAGCTTAAAAAATCAAAATGTGTTTTCGCAGTACAAGAGATAACATTTTTGGGGTTTAAGATAAGCCGAGAAGGAGTGCGTCCAATTGATGAAAAGGTGAAGGCAATAGCTCAAACACCAGAACCAATAAATAAACAACAGCTGCAAGCTTTTCTTGGGTTAATTACATTTTATGATAGATTTTTACAAAATAAGGGCGATTTATTGGAACCGTTGTATCAACTATTAAGAAAAGAGATACCTTTTAAATGGGGTGAAGAACAGAAATTAAGTTTTGAACGAGCAAAGAAGCTACTACAATCAAAAAACCTGTTGGTGGAGACGCATCGCTGTATGGAGTTGGCGTGGTTTTGGCACACAAGATGCCGGATGATAGAGAAGCACCGATTGCTTTTGGCTCCAGAACATTACAGGGCGCTGAACGAAATTATTCACAGTTGGATAAAGAAGCGCTAGCGCAGTGGCGTAACTACATTTTTAAGGCCTATAAGCAACTACTAACTAAGGGGCCCCTACTAACATCTTTTTATACCCTTTACACGAAAAAGTGTAAAAAGGGTATATAAAGTTTGTCCAGATTTTCGTAACGTTTTAAAGGAAACGTCGCAAATACTATAAAGTATATATCAGTAAAGTATATATATACCTTTTTAGTTCAAACTACTCTCTCAGCTTTTGAACTCTTCGAATGAAACTTTACACACATTCTTTTTGGGAGCGGCCCCTGATCACCATATGATTTGATTGAAATTAAACTACTATTTCTTATAGCTGCCATATAAACTTAACAACCGGATATGGGGTTTCTCCGTTTTTAATAAAGATATTCCAATAAAATCTGGTATATGTTAATGGTTAATGGACTATTCTGCAATATGGAGTAGATGCAGATTTAAATATAGCACCGATAGAAATTGAGGATTGAAGCACAACTATACGGCAAATCGTTTCGTCCCACTTTTGAGAATTTATTAAAAATAAATACAATGAATACATAAATTTGTAATGGGGCCCCCTAAATTCGTGGGCCCGAAAGCATTGCTTCCAGTCGCTTCCCTGTAGTTACGCCACTGCGCTAGCGATTATGTTTGGTGTGCAAAAGTTTCATCAATTTTTAAGTGGTAGACAATTTACAATAATGACTGATCATAAACCACTAGTGGGATTATTTAATCCAGATAAACCAATATCACAGCATATATCACCTAGAATGTTAAGGTGGTCGTTAAAGTTAGGCGCTTACCAGTACAAGATTAAATTCCGAGAAGAGAAATATCACCAGAATGCAGATGCATTGAGCCGGTTACCTTTAAATGATGTAAACCTACAAATACCTGAAATATTATACTGCAATGAGGCTGAAGAACAGTTTTTGATTACGGCGAAAGACATTGCACAAGCAACCAGAAGAGATCCAGTACTATCAAAAGTAATGTGGCATATCCAAAGGAAAGATACAGTTTTGCCATATAAGTCAATCCAGTTTAAACCGTTTGAGAATAAAATCCAGGAACTATCAGTGAATGCACAATGTTTGTTATGGGGAGCCAGGGTAATAATACCAGCAATACTACGTCCCAGAATACTTGACATGTTGCACGAAGTTCATCAAGGCATGTCGACAATGAAAGCAGTTGCGCGCAGCTTTTTTTGGTGGCCTGGTTTAGATGAAGACATAGAAATGTTAGCCAGACGTTGTGAAAAGTGTGCATGTAACGAAAAGAATCCTCCTGTAGCAGCAAGTAAACCATGGCCAGCAACGCTAAGGCCATGGTCACGGTTACATATTGATTATGCGGGACCCTTTATGGGTACAAATTTTTTTATCGTCGTAGATGCTCATAGCAAGTGGGTAGAGGTAAAAATAACCAGTACAATAAATACGATTAGAACAATCGAGTTAATGAGAGAAATTTTTACAACACATGGAATACCAGATACCATTGTGTCCGATAATGGGCGAACGTTTGTGTCAGAAGAATTTGAGAAATATTTAAAACTTAGCGGTATAAAGCACATACGTACGGCACCGTATCATCCATCATCAAACGGGCAAGCAGAAAGGTTTGTACAAACCATCAAGAATTACCTTAAGAAAATGCAGTCTTCAGACATCAATAAGAATTTGGCAAATATACTTTTGCATCTGCTTACAACTCCTAATGTAAATTGAAATTCGAGTCCAGCGGAAATCTCGATGGGAAGGAAGTTGAAAACATTGTTAGATCATTTGTACCCCAGTGATGACAACACTCAGTAGCAGCTAAATTCTGATGAGTATTTCAACTAATAAAACCAGTTCGCAGTTTCCAGTGTGGTGAAAGTGTTTGGTACCGAAATTTTGGAAGAGGTGAAAAGTGGATGCCAGGGATTGTACAATCAACAGGAGATCGCAACTACAAAATTCAATCAAATAGTAACATATTGTCGAGACATATTGACCAGTTGCATAAGCGAGTTTCGGAGACACCGACAAGTTTAGAATCCAATATAACTCCAGTGGCAGTAACTTCAGTGGCAGTAACTTCAGTGGCACAACCGGAAGAGCAAGACGACCAAGTAAGTGCAGGTCATTCATCAAATGAATATATCCTACCAGATAGTCAAGTAGTGGGGTCATTAGAAGAAGAAGATAAAAGAGATGAAACATTAAAATCGCGACCATACCGGCAGAGGCAACCGCCAAAAAGGTTACGGGACTATTTGATGGGGGAGGAACTGTAGTATATTCGATCATGGCAACCCTGTATAAAGAAATAGATAAAAAAGGAAAAATACGAAGTGTGTAGTTGTTCGTCGTTGTGATCAAAGGAGTAAGCATGCCATGCCGTATAAACTATTATTATTATTATTAAATTATAAATCTATATAACTTTAAATCAATAAAGTATATAACAAAATGATTTCTTATTCTTTGAATAAGAAATCTTATTCAAAGCTTATTCTTTGAGCTTTGAAATATGGCAAACAACATATGTTTTATTATATATGTTTTATTACAATAAATTTGTGCACATAATGCAACAAAAATATTGATTATAAATAAATAATTAATATAAAATTGAAAATTAAAATGAATAATGAATTAAAAGCAATGTTAAAAATGCATAACAATTTAAAATATTCTCTTACAAGAAAATTAATAATTGTGTGGAATATTTATTTTTTAATAAGTACATATTAACTTGTTACCAACTAATAAGTTAAAAAATAGAAAGTCCTTATGTACTTTTGTATATATTTATGTATATATTTTAAATAATAACGAACAAAAATGTATAATTTTTAAAATATTTAATTTCCACAATTTTCAAATTCAAATTTTTTTTTGTTTTTGTTTGAATTTTGTGTATAAAGTTTTGACAAATGACTAGTGAACGAAAATTATTTAATTTAATAGTCTTTTTGTTGTTTAACTTTATATAAAGATAGTAAAATCCTAACGCACCTTTTTTGTTGAGAGGTTCACGTACCACTGATTTATTCTTAAAACATATTATTAACAATAGCAAAAAACAAAACAAATGGAAAGCTGCGGCTATTAAAAGCTTTTTTTAGTTGTAAATAAATGTTAAATAATTGAAATTAAAATAAGTATAAGAGAACCCAATTGACTTAACATACCGGCGCCCATTGAGACCGTCAGGTTCAATTAATAGGTAATAAAGATAGCTTCGTAATTGGTTTGAGTTGTGTAAAAGTACTATATCCTTGTGAAAATAGTGTTGTTGAATAATATATACAATCCATTTCATATATGTTGACTTTTTTTAATTAGCTTTTTTATAAATGAGTATTGTAATTATTTAAAACATTTGTCAAAAATATTTTTTATATACAAATTTTATTCTATTCAGTTGTTTTAAAATTTTTTCCCTGATGATGGTTTTAAAAAACCGAAACGTCGGAAATAAATATTAAATAAGTAAAATAATAAGAAAAATTTTTTATTAAAAAAACCAAATTACAAAATCTGACTTATAGCCCAATACTCATTTATAAAAAAGCTAATATATACAATATGCAACAGAGCGCGTTGTATTTCATCTACCACGAATAATGATTGAATTTGTGCCTCGTACTTGTGGTGCCAACTTCGCATCAGCGCAACCACACGTAGACATTTGTTATAATTGCTTATCTGATGAAGTCTCTGTAGCAAATACGAAAGCTTGATATCTTCCAAAATGCACACTAGTTTGCGAGTTTCTAACTTGCGTTCATCAACTGTTACTTGATTTATTGAATGTTCTGGCCAGTTTGGCAACGGCAACATTAAAAATGAAGGTTCTTTGAACCAATTTGATGATAGTAATTCTGGGACGATACACCCTCTAGAAACGAGATCAGCTGGATTCTGATCGGTTGGTACATGGCGCCAAAATGCATTTACCGACCATTCTTGAACGTCAGCAACTCGATTACCAACAAAGGTCGCTAGAGTTGAAGAATGAGAACTAATCCAATGTGAAGTAATTTGTGAATCAGACCAAAAGTATATGTTATTAATATAATATAATAAATTATCTTTAATCTTGTTCCAGCATCCAGCAAGAAGATGATCGGTACACAATTCAAGACGTGGTAATGATCTTGCTTTCACAGGAGCAACTCGGGATTTGGAAGTTAATAAATGAACACTAACATTGCCAAAATTATCTTGACAACGTAGATAGATACAACATCCGTATGCTCTAATTGATGCGTCGCTGAAGCCATGTATTTGTATGTTAATTGAGTTCTTGATTCGAGTGGACCTTGGAATTTTAAGACGTATCACTTGATGCAAATCAGCAAGAATTCTGTTCCATGTTGTGTAAATTTCTTGAGGTACGGATTCATCCCAATCACGTCCAATTATCTATAGTTGCTGTAAATCTTAGCTTTGATGATGAGTGGACTAATTAGACCCAATGGATCATATAAAGATGATGCTAATGACAAAATGTTTCGTTTAGTATGACTTGCTGGTACATTGGTTGATTGAAAAGTTGTAAGGATGGAAATTTTGTAATAATTTCCAACCTACATAAATAACATACACACATCTACACAGCGTTTAGCCCAAATTAATTGTTGAATTATTGTACACGGAAAAATAGAAATCTCTGAAATAAATGAATAAAAATTAAAGAAATGAATTTTGTTTTGAAATCTAATAAATATCTTGTTTTAAATTGGCCTTTGCACGAAAAATTTTAACAATAGCTGCTCACATTGCGCACTACGGTAAAACGTGGAACTAGGGTAAGAGAAATGCAAATATGAACAAAAAAATATATTCAGTTAATATAGAAATACACACCTGCAGATGTATCACCACAACTTTTAATCCAAATTATTAAGAATTTATTACGATTGAACTATTAATTTATTATTAAAAATTATTAACAAATTGTTTTTAATAAAAACAAGAAATACCGCACGAAAAGTTACGAGAATTATCAAATCAAAACATAACAAACAAATATCAAAAACGTCAGAATGCAATTCGCTGCAAAAAGATGCACAAGGAAGCTTTTGCGCAAAAGTGTTAAAGTGCATTAAGTTCAACTAAGATCAACTCAAAGCTTTGTTACTTTACACAAAAAGTTCAAGAGTATTCGTATAAAAGACGGCGCAATTTTCTAAGAATTTAGTGAGTCTTGTACGACCACTCGGTGGCGTTGTATGTCAACATATAAAATAAATAAATATAAAAAAATTGTCTGACACAGTGGCGGTTTTAAGCCTAGTTGTATAAATTACTTAAATATATATATAATTGTGTACCATCGCCTGGGCGGTTTTAAGTCAAGACACTTGGACACTATTGTATAAATATTCCATAACCGAACAAGAAAATATATTTTTTTTTTATATGTACACTAACCCTTCTGTCCCTAACAGGTGCACCGAGAGTGGACAATCATACGAAGGTGCCAACAACGAAAACAAACTAGAGATCATCGCGAACGCCAAAGAAACAATTACCGGATCCAGCTTGTCACCTGGGAAAGAATCTAAAGTTCATATCTACTTATCTTTAACTAACTTTTGTTTTTTTTTTAAATACGATTATAAAGAAATCATAATATTTTATTAAAATCCACTTTGAAATACATAATCAATGTCAAGTTATATCTAATTGCGTTTAATTAAATTCATTTTGTTTATGACTATTTTAATGAATTAATTTTATTTTAAATAAATCTACATTTAAAATTAAACACACAATCTTTTATTTGAGAAGTTCTGTCTCCGCGATTATAAATTTATTGTAGCGACCCCCTGGAAAAGACTGAGGATACCCCAGCATAAATTATAACGAAACGGGAAAATCCGTGTCGTTACAAAGTGAAGCAAAAATAGTCTTCTTTCGTATTCCATAACATTTCAAGTGGACATGCCATATCTCTTGCAGTCTCAATATCTGTAAGTTTAACATTTGGTGCAGTGATGTTAACATTGTTGCTATTCCACTTTGTTAACGATAGGTTGTAGAAATTCAATATTTCGGTAGTTTCATTTTTGATGGCTTGCAATGTCTCCAAGTCATCTGCTCCTGAGATCATGTCATCGACATAAAAATCCCGTTTTAATATCATTTTACCTGTTTCTTTACTGTAAGGAGAGTTATCTGCAATGTAGTGTAAGCAACGGGTTGCAAGAAATGGCGCAGAACTCGTACCATATGTAACAGTATTAAGTTGATAAACTGAAATATTTTGCGATTTATGCTCACGCCACAAAATTAGTTGAAAATTGCGATCACTTGGATGTAGCCAAAACTGTCTATACATTTTTGTTATGTCAGCCGTTATTCCATATTGATACAATCGAAATCTTAATAATGTTATTACAAGTTCATTTTGGATTGTAGGGCCCACCATTAATAACTCATTTAATGACACTTGTGGTGATGTACGAGCTGAAGCATCAAAAACTACACGTAATTTAGTAGTTGTGCTATCTGGTTTAATTACATAATGATGTGGGATAAAATAGTGGGGAGAATTTAAATCCAAATCCTTAACCATCGACATATGTCTGAGATTTTCGTAATCTTGCATAAATTTCACATATTCCAATTTTAACTCAATATTGGAGTCAAGTCTTCTTTCCATAGATAAATATCTTCTTAATGCAATTTCCTGAGAATTTCCAAGAGTACTTGTGTCGCCTTTGAATGGCAACCTTGTCATAATTCGGCCATCGTTACTGAGAGCTACAGTTTTTTTTAAAGTTGGTTTCGCATTGCTGTTCTTCTACTGACCATACTGATGGTGGATGAACTGGTTCCTCTATCTGCCACAACCGTTCCAAGTTCGCATTAATTGTATCCAAGCTGACAACACAATGGGATGAAACAATTTTGAAATCTTTAGTAGAACAATATTTTCCTGAAATAATCCAGCCGAACAAAGTTTTTTGTAAAGTCGGTAAATTCTCACCAAGTTTTATTTGGCCTACTGCTAGCAGTGAAAAGAAAGCTTCTGCACCAAGTAACATATAAATTTTTTGGCGTTTGTAAAATGCCGGATCAGCTAATTGAAGATTTTCAGGAATTTGCAACTCTTCTAACGACAGTGTTTCATTAGGGTGATATTTAGAAATTCTTTTGGTAACGAGAAACTCAAGTACTGCTTCAAAACTGTTTAACCTTGATCGTATCGTGCTTATTGTTTTATGTTTAATATTTACTAATGCAGCTCCTACACCAACAAGACTGTTTTTACTTCGTGACTTTTTTAGATGAAGTGCATTACACATCGATTCCGATATTAAATTGACCTGCGAGCATGAATCTAATAACACTATACAGAATTGGAAAGTACCCGATGCATCTTTAACTAACACCATTGCTGTTGCCAAAAGCACCACTGATTTTACCCGAGCAGAAGTTTCGTCTGGAACTAGTGCATTAGTCTGTACATGACTTAGAGGTGATATTGTTTGCTCACATAAAGGTTCCATATTAGATGATGCACCAGTATTATGTAAAAGTGAATGATGTCGTTTTTTGCACATTCGGCATGAATACGTTGATGGACAATGTGTGCTAATGTGATCTTTCCGGAGACAATTAAAGCATAGTTGGATTTGCTTCGCCTGTTGACATCGATTTTCAACTGATAGAGCTAAAAAATTTGGACAATTAGTAATATAATGACCAGGTTTTAAACAATATACACAATGAATCTGACTTGTAGACTTTTGTTTCGTCATTAAGATGTGCTTGAAAGGTTTACGAACACTAGTATGCTGCAACTCTTGGTTGATTGTAGCCTTTGGCTTGGCCTTTGCTAGTACCATTAATTGTTGACATCGCCTGTCAAGCATCTTGCAACATTCCAGCCAAGTTGGTAGTTTCGTATAGTCGTGACATTCATTCCATTTACGTTTCGTCTCACTATTCACTTTCATCATCACCAAGTGAATCAAGATTGCATCACATATCTGTTCGTGTGATCCCAATGACTTAAGCGAACTATATAAAATCGAAATGTTGTCCACTAATTGGCGAAGTTGAGTCGAATCAGGTTAAATACATTGTGGTTCATCAAAAAGTGTTGCAATGCCTTCCAGAAATATGAGAGGGTCATTATCGTATCGCTCTTTGAGTCTTTGGAGAGCCTTCGGATAGTTGTCTTCCGTTATCTGGAACGCCTTTACTGTTGCTAACGCTTCGCCTTGAAGACACGATAACAAATGGTTGAATTTTTCAGTTGATGTCAAGACCGAATCACTATCTACAAGGTTTTGAAAAATATGTATACAATTTTTGAATTCAAGATATTTGCCGTCAAACTTAGGCAACTTTAAATGTGGCAATCTGTTTGACGGCAGCTGCGGTAACGAGAAAGTTTGCTCATGGTAGCTTTGTCTCCTCCGTCCATCAACTAATGACAATATTAAACATTTTGTACTTACGTACAGCTCATTGATGTCAGAGCGCGCGGAATCTGTAGGACAATATCGCTCTATCTGATTCTGGTAGTAAGATACCTGCTTATAATAGGCATCTAGCATCCCAAGTCTACACTCCAATTCCGTTGACGATAAAGTTTTGTTATTCTCAACAATATTTTTAATTCGCGTTATACTGCCTTTCGTAGATGCTCGCTGCTGTTTTAATTCTTCTAATAAAGGCAGTGGCGGCAGAGAATTTGACGCTGCAGTCGAATTGTTTTCGGCAGCGCTGCTCGCTGCTGCATTATTAGAATTTTGCATCACCGAAAGCAAATGCAAAACCGAAAATAAAACAACAAAAAAACCAACTAATATTATGAAGGTTAATAACCTGAATGATTGTCAAAGTTATTGTTAAATTGAACAACTGTTGTTTATTTTTAAGTTTTAAACAATTACTGATGTAAGAGACTATTAATATTAAGTTTTTAATATTAATTTGAAACACCTTTAGTATTTATTTATATCAAGTCTTTAATATAAATTCAATTTAATTTGAAACACTTTTAGTCGTAATATAAATTGAATTTAATTTGAAACACTTTTAATATTTAATTTATCTTAAGTCTTTAAAATAAATTTAAGTTAATTTCAAATACTTGTCGTGTTGTGTCCTGTCACGGTCGCCAATGAACGAAAACTATTTAATTTAATAGTCTTTTTGTTGTTTAATTTTATATAAAGATAGTAAAATCCAAACGCTCCTTTTTTGTTGAGAGGTTCACGTACCACTGATTTATTCTTAAAACATATTATTAACAATAGCAAAAAACAAAACAAATGGAAAGCTGCGGCTATTAAAAGCTTTTTTTTTAGTTGTAAATAAATGTTAAATAATTGAAATTAAAATAAGTATAAGAGAACCCAATTGACTTAACAACTAGAAAATTGGTTGTAATTTCCAATCAGTAGATCGCTTATCACTTTGATAATATTTTTTCCTTATCACTTTTACTTTTTCCTAAATATATATGTGCATTGTTTCTTGATTTCTATAGTTTTATCAGATATAAAACAACCGTAAAGTAATAATTTCTTATTTCTAATACTATGGCAACACAAACCTTCTTGTTGGATAATGTTTGACACATAATTACAATAAGTATGGTTCGCCTTTAAACTATCAGTGCACATGGCGCGCGACTGGCCACGAAATTTCACAATTTTTGATTCTAATAAATTTAAGGATTTTAATACGATATGTGGGTAATTAAAAAACAGGATACAGGTAACTAACAAAATATACCTTTAAGGTGTTAGACTTTAATAACATTTGCAATAGATGAAACCTTCACTCTTATTTCGGAGCACAATAATTATACTGTGGGTCGAACAAGTGCAGATTTGGTATTGTCTCATGATAATTCAATAAGTCGTTCCCATTCGATTTTACGTATTATCGTTATCGATATCGATAAAGAGACACTATCAATAGAAGATGTTGGATCTAAATACGGGACTTTTATAAATGAAAATATAGAAAATGGTATTAAACTCAACCAAGGAAAACAACAGGAATTATCAGATGGGGATCGTATCAGATTTGGCGTTTTTAAAAATATTTGGCATGTCTCACATGTACCCATCATTAGTGCAATATCTGGATTGTCTTCAGGAGATGCTAAAATAATGGAACATTATATGTCTTTTTTTGGAGGAAAACTTGTAGATAAATGGGATACGAAATGTACTCACTTAACAATGAAGGAATTCAGATTGACTGTGAAAGCATTACACGCCTTAGTTGAACAGAGACCAATCGTTACTCTTGACTACTGGCGAAATTTTGTGGACGCTGCACGCCGTGGACGTAGTACACTCCCCCAACCCAATGAATACAAGCCTATAAATAGCAATGATTTGATGGGACATAATCTAGATTGCACAATAACACCGGCTCGTAAAACTGTTTTCAGCGGTATGACATTTGTGTTTATGAATGCGAACCAGCTTGAAATATATGGACCCATTATAATTAAAGCCGGTGGAGCTACAAAAGCTCTAAAATTTTGTGTGCCAAAATCTTTTTTACTTAAAAGTAACGTAGTTGTTTTGCAATATGTGCCCTCTACCCCATCGCAAGGTACGCAAACGATTAATGTCATTGAGAGTAAGTTTTTATAAGTTCTTCGTTATTTTTCCTTATATTTATTTGCAATTTTTGTAGACTATTTAGAAACTAATAATCTACGTTTTATACCTGAGTATGAAATTGGACTAGCAATTCTACACTGTTCTATAGAAAAATTCTGCAATCCTTGTTATAAGGTTATTAATGGCCTAATACCCTCAACAAGTTCCATGGGTTTATCTCCTAATACATGTCTTTTTAAAAATACTGAAGCTACTCAGAGTAACGCTAGTGAACGTACTGAATTATTTCCACGGAGCAGTAATACAGCTCATTTGGAGACGCAGCAAGCCTATAAACGTCCAATCATTGCAGTACTTACTGATAATGATGATAGTGATGATGATCTGTTTAATTTTGGTGGCGGGCCATCAAAAAAAACAAGTTTACAAGATAAATATAAAAGTTTAGATGAAGAACTTTACGATTTATTTCAATTAAAAAAAAGTATGCAGACAAGTGATAAAGTAACTGGCAAAAAATCACCCATTAAAAACGTAATTTTCAAACCGAAACCAAAGCCTTTACCTATTATAACTACACGGAAAGAAAAAACTACAGTTGAAGGTTTTCAGCAAAAATCAGGTGTGCAAATAGATAATTCGCCACCACGGAGCAGTAATACAGCTCATTTGGAGACGCAGGAAGCCTATAAACGTCCAATCATTGTAGTACTTACTGATAATGATGATAGTGATGATGACCTGTTTAATTTTGGTGGCGGGCCATCAAAAAAAACATGTTTACAAGATAAAGATAAAAGTTTCGGTGAAGAACTTTACGATGTACGAAATAAACAACAACAACAGGAATTATGTCTACTTGAAACAGAAAAGATCGGTGTGAATGATGATGGCAAATCCGGGAGCAAACAAAATTCAATATTAGATGATGAAAGTATGTCAAAGCGTAAACAGAACAAAATTATTCAAATTGTTATAAGTGACAGTGATGACAGTAATGAAGAAGAGAATTTATTTCAATTAAAAAAAAGGATGCAGACAAGTGATAAAGTAACTGACAAAAAATCTCCCATTAAAAACATAATTTCCAAACCGAAACCAAAGCCTTTACCTATTATAACTACACGGAAAGAAAAAACTACAGTTGAAGGTTTTCAGCAAAAATCAGGTGTGCAAATAGATAATTCGCCACCACGGAGCAGTAATACAGCTCATTTGGAGACGCAGCAAGCCTATAAACGTCCAATCATTGCAGTACTTACTGATAATGATGATAGTGATGATGATCTGTTTAATTTTGGTGGCGGGCCATCAAAAAAAACAAGTTTACAAGATAAATATAAAAGTTTAGATGAAGAACTTTACGATTTATTTCAATTAAAAAAAAGTATGCAGACAAGTGATAAAGTAACTGGCAAAAAATCACCCATTAAAAACGTAATTTTCAAACCGAAACCAAAGCCTTTACCTATTATAACTACACGGAAAGAAAAAACTACAGTTGAAGGTTTTCAGCAAAAATCAGGTGTGCAAATAGATAATTCGCCACCACGGAGCAGTAATACAGCTCATTTGGAGACGCAGGAAGCCTATAAACGTCCAATCATTGTAGTACTTACTGATAATGATGATAGTGATGATGACCTGTTTAATTTTGGTGGCGGGCCATCAAAAAAAACAAGTTTACAAGATAAATATAAAAGTTTAGATGAAGAACTTTACGATTTATTTCAATTAAAAAAAAGTATGCAGACAAGTGATAAAGTAACTGGCAAAAAATCACCCATTAAAAACGTAATTTTCAAACCGAAACCAAAGCCTTTACCTATTATAACTACACGGAAAGAAAAAACTACAGTTGAAGGTTTTCAGCAAAAATCAGGTGTGCAAATAGATAATTCGCCACCACGGAGCAGTAATACAGCTCATTTGGAGACGCAGCAAGCCTATAAACGTCCAATCATTGCAGTACTTACTGATAATGATGATAGTGATGATAAAAGTTTAGATGAAGAACTTTACGATTTATTTCAATTAAAAAAAAGTATGCAGACAAGTGATAAAGTAACTGGCAAAAAATCTCCCATTAAAAACATAATTTTCAAACCGAAACCAAAGCCTTTACCTATTATAACTACACGGAAAGAAAAAACTACAGTTGAAGGTTTTCAGCAAAAATCAGGTGTGCAAATAGATAATTCGCCACCACGGAGCAGTAATACAGCTCATTTGGAGACGCAGCAAGCCTATAAACGTCCAATCATTGCAGTACTTACTGATAATGATGATAGTGATGATGACCTGTTTAATTATAAAGATAAAGATAAAATAACTTGATATGAAAAATGAGAATAGTACAGATGAAAAACATCAATTTATTGACTCATTTAAAAATGCTTTCATAGTACAAGTGAAAAAGCTGATAATATCTAAACCTTTAGAAGATCTTTCATCATTACAACTTATATTAAACAATTCAAAAAACAATGGAACTACTAATTTTAAAAAATTTGTTAAGGTACATTTAATTATTCCAAAATAGTTCATTTATTATTAATCATTTTTATTCCATTTTTGGTAGACTAAAAATCTCAGACCGCAGCAAAGAATCATACCAACTCATCCAGTATCACTTATGAGTTTGTTATCAAATCAATCATAAAATTCGGAATTCCTTAATTTTTAATACAGATATATATTTTACTTTTTATATGTTATATATGTTTCATATGTTATTTAAATCAAATACATGTTTCAAATATTTAAAATGTTCAACATTAATGTAGCATTAATATGTTTTTTATGAGTATTTCTCAAAGAGAACCTTCATATATACCAGAATTATAACTGGTACAAATTTTGTTAACTATTAAGAATTAAAAAAACACTAACACAAAATTGATTTGTAGTACGAAGTACTAAATTTAATTATTTTTAATTCTATTTTTGAATAGCAACGATATTTTGTTTTTTCAGGAATATGGAATTGTTACAGAGTAGTTCTAACTTATTTAGTAATTTACAGCAATTTCAAGCTGAAGCTTCTCTCCTAAGTGCTTTGTATTGTAATAGTAGCATATAGTAATAGTAATAGTAGTAATAGTAGAATATTATAGCTCAATTAATTAGCTCTAAAAATGAGGTCCATACAAAAATGTATTATTAAATTTCAATAATAAAAAAACTTGCATTACAATATCTGATATGTCACATGAATATTATAGTCTGCCTTTGTTGTGTCGAGTCAGAATTTTGTGTGACATACAATATTTGTTGGTCAATCTATTCCAAATGTAGAATCTCTCACAGACACAAATCAGAGATTTCTAGGTACTGGGCACTGGACCATAGGACGACACCTGCCGTGTGGTGGCGGGATAAGAATACCACCTCAGTATGTCTCTGCTTGTCGTAAAAGGCGACTAAAAGAGAAAATGCAAAGATCAAAGTAGAACTTCTACGATTCCTGGTAAGTCGTGAGGGCGCACAGGTCAAAGTAGCTTGCTACGACTCCTGATAAGACGACCCTTCTGCTAGCAGGTCGGCCCGGCATTTGCTCAGGCCCTGCTAAGTTGACCAGCCTTCGGGAAGTGCGACTATCTATCAGGTCAACTGTCAAGCGATAAGTACTCTGCTTATCGTTTGACGCAGATAGTCGGGTGGGGTGAAGGAAAACACCCTTTTAGTGAATGAGCAGTGAGAATGATTGTATGAATGTGTGCATAAATGAATTGTGTGTATTAGAAATAAAACCCCCCAAACTAAGGTGGAACAGCTACGCCTTTAGCTTGGCTGCTGGGGTAGAAGCAGTCTTAGTAGCGAACTCAGGACACCTGGCGACCTCCTGTTTTAAACAGCCTTACCTGTGCAATGCGAAGCTCTCCGCAGGTGGACATATTTCTCTTCGCAACTCGTGGGAATCAAAATTGACAAAAAAATTTTAAATATACCAACTCAAGGCGAAGTGGTTGACGCTGATTAGGTGGACAATGAGGCCTCACAGGCCGAGCTGATAGCCTTAGCTTCAGATACCACCACGCATGACGGTCATGAGACCAACAAAATGGTGGACGAAGAAGCCCCGCAAGAGGCTGAGCCGTTAACCAAAACAGTTGGAAACATGACAACGACTGATCTTGACTTGGCCGAGCGTATCCGTCTGAACATGAGGGAGAAGCAGAAGCGTAGAAGAGAGAGGCAAAAGGCTGCAAAAGCCACAAGATCGGTTGAACAACTAGCCGATCGATTCAGCGGACTATCGCATGTGGAATCATCGCTAGAGGAAGAACAGCTAGCAAAGAGGTATAAGGGCGACTGATAACCAGAAGAGAACGCAAAACGGATCTGGGGTTAAAAAAGGCGGACAACCCATACAGGGTGTTAACCAACCAAAACAAGGCGGACAACTTATAACTGTTGTTAACCAAGTACTGGTCCCCAAACCAGTACAGCGGACCATCTACCTAGCACAAGTAAGGCTGCAAATAAACAGAATTACGGCAAGCAGGCAGTAGGAGACGCAAAGGATGGCCCTGCTCATAAGAGGTCCTATGCCCAGTTCGCTGGGACGGATCTCAATATGGGCATCACCGATTCAAGAGTCGAAGGACCTCTTGGCGAGAAACACTTAGTTGCTTTTAAAGCATCTTTGTTGAACGCCGTGGAGTCCTTAGATGGCGGAATAGGTGACATAGGGTTTGTGACATAGCTCCACGTGGAACAACTTCGGAAAATTAGTGAGCCATCGTAAGATTCTTGATCTCGTCCAGGCCGCGGTCAAGGAAACGCAGATGCTATTGGAGACTATGAGGAGCGTTTATGGGACAGAAGTGTCCTATAGAACACTGATAGTAGACGGCCTTCTACATAATGAATGTGGAAGGAATGACATTTGCATATTTACCGATGGCTCCTTAATGGATGGCAGAGCTGGTGCTGGGGTTTACTCGAAAGAGCTAAAACTAACGTGCACTCTACATCTAGGAATATATGTTTCCGTCTATCAAGCGGAACTTATGGCGGTCTCACATGCTCTGGATCACCTATTGGATTGTCAGGTATATCAGAAAAAGATTCTGATAGCGCTGGACAACCAAGCAGTTATCAAAAGCATGCAAAAGACATGGAATGTGCTCATGGAAATGAGGTGACGATCATGTGGGTTAAAGGACACATCGGTATTGAGCAAAAGGAGAAGGCAGATGAACTTGCAAAGCAAGGATCAAGCCATAATTTCTGTGGCCCGGAGCCCAGAATACCATTGGGGTACAGCATGACGGCAGCCTATGTCTATAAGTGGATAATCTCACTTCATCTTAATAGATGGAGAGAGTTGAGCACTTATAGACAGACCAAACTCATGTTACCAAAACCATGGGCCAGAGAAGCGATAAAGGTGCTTAGCTATTCGCTGAGCACCCTAAGCTGGCTGACCTCACTAATTACTGGACATGGCAACTTCAATTATCACCTCAAAAAGATAACTCTTGCTGAGGAAGATACTTGCAGACTATGTCTAGAAGAAAAGGAGACAGCGGTGCATATAATGTGCCAATGTCCAGCACTGGCAAGTAGGAGGAAGTCTGTCTTGGGACACTATTGGGTTGCTGACGACTTGGCAGGAAACCTCAAACTAAATGAAATGCTTGCATTAACAAAAGATGTAGTTATGCGAACGGAAGCCACTCCAGCTTTAACTCAATAACAACATCCGAGAATCGAAGGACGAAAAAGGACCCAAGTCGTTTCGTGGTCTACTTCGACTAATCCTTCACTTCAGTGGGGCCACTTGTTGGACAGTGACTACCAGCTCTCGAAGAAAGGACAACAGAACACCTGTTGTGTTTATGTCCAGACTGGGGCAGAACTAGGCTTAAGTTTCTGGAGGCCCCCTTCTTCAACACACTCGGTGATATCTCAAGCATTAGCTAGATTCTAGTATCTCTCTTGTAGTTTACCACTTGTTCATTATTTAATATGATGTGAATAACTTCATTCATTAATCTTTTTTGATAATTATTTTCGATTTCAAGAATTATTACTTCATCAAAGTTGAAATTATGTCCACTTTTTCCCATCATCTTTATTTATTAATTAATTATTTCAAAATAATAAATATATATAAATATAGATATAAATTATAAAATTGTAACTATATATAATATGAGAGAGAAGTAGTAAATTTTGTTTACATTTCTTTCTAATATTTTTAATGATTTTAAATAAATATATTTATTAATTAACAACAAATTTAATAAATTTTGATAAATGTACGATAATAGTTCATGATTTTCAATGTTTATAGTTGTTTCTGTTTGTCACATGGTTTTATAATATAGTGTGAATTAAACATAATGTTGGATCTGAAACATCATATAGGAAGGTTTAACGCACAATGAGAGAATTATATATTTAAATCGCCAAGGGGAATGGGGTATATACTAAAAAATTCATTTTGCCATCATTTTTACAGTGACTTTACAATGTCAAGTTGTTAATTTTGACTATAATCCTCTTGAATAGGTCACTATATCAAATTGTATTTTCAAAACTTCATTATCTTTGCTGCCTTGACTTTATAAGATGATAAATCTGAACACTTATCAGGTAAACCAGGATTATGTAAAATAATTAAAAAAATTTATGATTATTATATTATCTTTATTACAAGAATTTTTAATACAAGAATTCTTTCCAAGACCAGTGAAGATGGGTATTTGGCAATACTCGAAACAGCTGTATGGTGAGCCATAAATTCAATTAATTAAAATAATATAAAAAATAAAATTTTTGTTGTTGTATTCCACTACTGTTCGAAAAACCTCTTTATGAAATATAATAAGTTTCTATTAAAATATAATAGTCACTTTCGTCTGGAAAATTTGACGTTAAATTACAACTTATATTCACAAAATATTGGTCTCGCCCGTGCGACTACTGGAGTAACATTAGCATGACTTTCTCAGCATTACGTTCCTAGATTAGGTTCTATACCTAAGAAAGAACGAATCATGCAACAAATAATGCCTCTACAAAAAGAATAGTATTGAAATTTAACAATTAAAAATATAAAAAAAAATATATTTAATTAATTAATTTAATTATTCTACAGCTGGTTTATGATTTCGTTCTAATATAAACACAGCAAGTAAAATTGTTAATAAGAATTTTCATAGTAATAGTAGCAAAACTCCAGAAAAATATGCGAAGAAAAAAGTCAAGTACTGCTTTGGATCAGTTGGTTAAGATGTGCTGATTCTGAGTTTCACATTTGGCAGGACCCGAGTTCGATTCCTGGTACTTGCAGTCTCAAAAATAATTATTTACGAATAATTAAATACAGAATTATTTCCAAGACCATTGATGATGGGTATTTGGCAATACTCGAAACAGCTGTATGGTCAGCCAAAAATTCAATTAATTAAAATAATATAAAAAATAAAATTTTTGTTGTTGTATTTCACTACTGTTCGAAAAACCTCTTTATGAAATATAATAAGTTTCTATTAAAAATAATAGTCACTTTCGTCTGGAATATTTGACGTTAAATTACAACTTATATTCACAAAATATTGGTCTCGCCCGTGCGACTACTGGAGTAACATTAGTATGACTTTCTCAGCATTACGTTCCTAGATTAGGTTCTATACCTAAGAAAGAACGAATCATACAACAAATAATGCCTCTACGAACAGAATAGTATTGAAATTTAACAATTGAAAATAAAATTATAATTAATTAATTAATTCAATTATTCTACAGCTGGTTTATGATTTCGTTCTAATATAAACACAGCAAGTAAAATTGTTAATAAGAATTTTCATAGTAATAGTAACAAAACTCCAGAAAAATATGCGAAGAAAAAAGTCAAGTACTGCTTTGGATCAGTTGGTTAAGGTGCGCTGATTCTGAGTTTCACATTTGGCAGGACCCGAGTTCGATTCCTGGTACTTGCAGTCTCAAAAATAATTATTTACGAATAATTAAATACGAGAATTATTTGCAAGACCACTGATGGTGGGTATTTGGCAATACTCGAAACAGCTGTATGGTCAGCCAAAAATTCAATTAATTAAAATAATTTAAAAAAAAAAAAAAAATTTTTGTTGTTGTTTCACTTCTGTTCGAAAATCTCTTTATGTAAATATAACAAGTTTCTATTAAAACTATAATAGTCACTTTCGTCTGGAAAATTTGACGTTAAATTACAACTTATTCACAAAAATATTGGTTCTCGCCCGTGCGACTAGTGGAGTAACATTAGCATGACTTTCTCAGCATTACGTTCCTAGATTAGGTTCTATATGTCTCACATGTACCCATCATTAGTGCAATATCTGGATTGTCTTCAGGAGATGCTAAAATAATGGAACATTATATGTCTTTTTTTGGAGGAAAACTTGTAGATAAATGGGATACGAAATGTACTCACTTAACAATGAAGGAATTCAGATTGACTGTGAAAGCATTACACGCCTTAGTTGAACAGAGACCAATCGTTACTCTTGACTACTGGCGAAATTTTGTGGACGCTGCACGCCGTGGACGTAGTACACTCCCCCAACCCAATGAATACAAGCCTATAAATAGCAATGATTTGATGGGACATAATCTAGATTGCACAATAACACCGGCTCGTAAAACTGTTTTCAGCGGTATGACATTTGTGTTTATGAATGCGAACCAGCTTGAAATATATGGACCCATTATAATTAAAGCCGGTGGAGCTACAAAAGCTCTAAAATTTTGTGTGCCAAAATCTTTTTTACTTAAAAGTAACGTAGTTGTTTTGCAATATGTGCCCTCTACCCCATCGCAAGGTACGCAAACGATTAATGTCATTGAGAGTAAGTTTTTATAAGTTCTTCGTTATTTTTCCTTATATTTATTTGCAATTTTTGTAGACTATTTAGAAACTAATAATCTACGTTTTATACCTGAGTATGAAATTGGACTAGCAATTCTACACTGTTCTATAGAAAAATTCTGCAATCCTTGTTATAAGGTTATTAATGGCCTAATACCCTCAACAAGTTCCATGGGTTTATCTCCTAATACATGTCTTTTTAAAAATACTGAAGCTACTCAGAGTAACGCTAGTGAACGTACTGAATTATTTCCACGGAGCAGTAATACAGCTCATTTGGAGACGCAGCAAGCCTATAAACGTCCAATCATTGCAGTACTTACTGATAATGATGATAGTGATGATGATCTGTTTAATTTTGGTGGCGGGCCATCAAAAAAAACAAGTTTACAAGATAAATATAAAAGTTTAGATGAAGAACTTTACGATTTATTTCAATTAAAAAAAAGTATGCAGACAAGTGATAAAGTAACTGGCAAAAAATCACCCATTAAAAACGTAATTTTCAAACCGAAACCAAAGCCTTTACCTATTATAACTACACGGAAAGAAAAAACTACAGTTGAAGGTTTTCAGCAAAAATCAGGTGTGCAAATAGATAATTCGCCACCACGGAGCAGTAATACAGCTCATTTGGAGACGCAGGAAGCCTATAAACGTCCAATCATTGTAGTACTTACTGATAATGATGATAGTGATGATGACCTGTTTAATTTTGGTGGCGGGCCATCAAAAAAAACATGTTTACAAGATAAAGATAAAAGTTTCGGTGAAGAACTTTACGATGTACGAAATAAACAACAACAACAGGAATTATGTCTACTTGAAACAGAAAAGATCGGTGTGAATGATGATGGCAAATCCGGGAGCAAACAAAATTCAATATTAGATGATGAAAGTATGTCAAAGCGTAAACAGAACAAAATTATTCAAATTGTTATAAGTGACAGTGATGACAGTAATGAAGAAGAGAATTTATTTCAATTAAAAAAAAGGATGCAGACAAGTGATAAAGTAACTGACAAAAAATCTCCCATTAAAAACATAATTTCCAAACCGAAACCAAAGCCTTTACCTATTATAACTACACGGAAAGAAAAAACTACAGTTGAAGGTTTTCAGCAAAAATCAGGTGTGCAAATAGATAATTCGCCACCACGGAGCAGTAATACAGCTCATTTGGAGACGCAGCAAGCCTATAAACGTCCAATCATTGCAGTACTTACTGATAATGATGATAGTGATGATGATCTGTTTAATTTTGGTGGCGGGCCATCAAAAAAAACAAGTTTACAAGATAAATATAAAAGTTTAGATGAAGAACTTTACGATTTATTTCAATTAAAAAAAAGTATGCAGACAAGTGATAAAGTAACTGGCAAAAAATCACCCATTAAAAACGTAATTTTCAAACCGAAACCAAAGCCTTTACCTATTATAACTACACGGAAAGAAAAAACTACAGTTGAAGGTTTTCAGCAAAAATCAGGTGTGCAAATAGATAATTCGCCACCACGGAGCAGTAATACAGCTCATTTGGAGACGCAGGAAGCCTATAAACGTCCAATCATTGTAGTACTTACTGATAATGATGATAGTGATGATGACCTGTTTAATTTTGGTGGCGGGCCATCAAAAAAAACAAGTTTACAAGATAAATATAAAAGTTTAGATGAAGAACTTTACGATTTATTTCAATTAAAAAAAAGTATGCAGACAAGTGATAAAGTAACTGGCAAAAAATCACCCATTAAAAACGTAATTTTCAAACCGAAACCAAAGCCTTTACCTATTATAACTACACGGAAAGAAAAAACTACAGTTGAAGGTTTTCAGCAAAAATCAGGTGTGCAAATAGATAATTCGCCACCACGGAGCAGTAATACAGCTCATTTGGAGACGCAGCAAGCCTATAAACGTCCAATCATTGCAGTACTTACTGATAATGATGATAGTGATGATAAAAGTTTAGATGAAGAACTTTACGATTTATTTCAATTAAAAAAAAGTATGCAGACAAGTGATAAAGTAACTGGCAAAAAATCTCCCATTAAAAACATAATTTTCAAACCGAAACCAAAGCCTTTACCTATTATAACTACACGGAAAGAAAAAACTACAGTTGAAGGTTTTCAGCAAAAATCAGGTGTGCAAATAGATAATTCGCCACCACGGAGCAGTAATACAGCTCATTTGGAGACGCAGCAAGCCTTTAAACGTCCAATCATTGCAGTACTTACTGATAATGATGATAGTGATGATGACCTGTTTAATTATAAAGATAAAGATAAAATAACTTGATATGAAAAATGAGAATAGTACAGATGAAAAACATCAATTTATTGACTCATTTAAAAATGCTTTCATAGTACAAGTGAAAAAGCTGATAATATCTAAACCTTTAGAAGATCTTTCATCATTACAACTTATATTAAACAATTCAAAAAACAATGGAACTACTAATTTTAAAAAATTTGTTAAGGTACATTTAATTATTCCAAAATAGTTCATTTATTATTAATCATTTTTATTCCATTTTTGGTAGACTAAAAATCTCAGACCGCAGCAAAGAATCATACCAACTCATCCAGTATCACTTATGAGTTTGTTATCAAATCAATCATAAAATTCGGAATTCCTTAATTTTTAATACAGATATATATTTTACTTTTTATATGTTATATATGTTTCATATGTTATTTAAATCAAATACATGTTTCAAATATTTAAAATGTTCAACATTAATGTAGCATTAATATGTTTTTTATGAGTATTTCTCAAAGAGAACCTTCATATATACCAGAATTATAACTGGTACAAATTTTGTTAACTATTAAGAATTAAAAAAACACTAACACAAAATTGATTTGTAGTACGAAGTACTAAATTTAATTATTTTTAATTCTATTTTTGAATAGCAACGATATTTTGTTTTTTCAGGAATATGGAATTGTTACAGAGTAGTTCTAACTTATTTAGTAATTTACAGCAATTTCAAGCTGAAGCTTCTCTCCTAAGTGCTTTGTATTGTAATAGTAGCATATAGTAATAGTAATAGTAGTAATAGTAGAATATTATAGCTCAATTAATTAGCTCTAAAAATGAGGTCCATACAAAAATGTATTATTAAATTTCAATAATAAAAAAACTTGCATTACAATATCTGATATGTCACATGAATATTATAGTCTGCCTTTGTTGTGTCGAGTCAGAATTTTGTGTGACATACAATATTTGTTGGTCAATCTATTCCAAATGTAGAATCTCTCACAGACACAAATCAGAGATTTCTAGGTACTGGGCACTGGACCATAGGACGACACCTGCCGTGTGGTGGCGGGATAAGAATACCACCTCAGTATGTCTCTGCTTGTCGTAAAAGGCGACTAAAAGAGAAAATGCAAAGATCAAAGTAGAACTTCTACGATTCCTGGTAAGTCGTGAGGGCGCACAGGTCAAAGTAGCTTGCTACGACTCCTGATAAGACGACCCTTCTGCTAGCAGGTCGGCCCGGCATTTGCTCAGGCCCTGCTAAGTTGACCAGCCTTCGGGAAGTGCGACTATCTATCAGGTCAACTGTCAAGCGATAAGTACTCTGCTTATCGTTTGACGCAGATAGTCGGGTGGGGTGAAGGAAAACACCCTTTTAGTGAATGAGCAGTGAGAATGATTGTATGAATGTGTGCATAAATGAATTGTGTGTATTAGAAATAAAACCCCCCAAACTAAGGTGGAACAGCTACGCCTTTAGCTTGGCTGCTGGGGTAGAAGCAGTCTTAGTAGCGAACTCAGGACACCTGGCGACCTCCTGTTTTAAACAGCCTTACCTGTGCAATGCGAAGCTCTCCGCAGGTGGACATATTTCTCTTCGCAACTCGTGGGAATCAAAATTGACAAAAAAATTTTAAATATACCAACTCAAGGCGAAGTGGTTGACGCTGATTAGGTGGACAATGAGGCCTCACAGGCCGAGCTGATAGCCTTAGCTTCAGATACCACCACGCATGACGGTCATGAGACCAACAAAATGGTGGACGAAGAAGCCCCGCAAGAGGCTGAGCCGTTAACCAAAACAGTTGGAAACATGACAACGACTGATCTTGACTTGGCCGAGCGTATCCGTCTGAACATGAGGGAGAAGCAGAAGCGTAGAAGAGAGAGGCAAAAGGCTGCAAAAGCCACAAGATCGGTTGAACAACTAGCCGATCGATTCAGCGGACTATCGCATGTGGAATCATCGCTAGAGGAAGAACAGCTAGCAAAGAGGTATAAGGGCGACTGATAACCAGAAGAGAACGCAAAACGGATCTGGGGTTAAAAAAGGCGGACAACCCATACAGGGTGTTAACCAACCAAAACAAGGCGGACAACTTATAACTGTTGTTAACCAAGTACTGGTCCCCAAACCAGTACAGCGGACCATCTACCTAGCACAAGTAAGGCTGCAAATAAACAGAATTACGGCAAGCAGGCAGTAGGAGACGCAAAGGATGGCCCTGCTCATAAGAGGTCCTATGCCCAGTTCGCTGGGACGGATCTCAATATGGGCATCACCGATTCAAGAGTCGAAGGACCTCTTGGCGAGAAACACTTAGTTGCTTTTAAAGCATCTTTGTTGAACGCCGTGGAGTCCTTAGATGGCGGAATAGGTGACATAGGGTTTGTGACATAGCTCCACGTGGAACAACTTCGGAAAATTAGTGAGCCATCGTAAGATTCTTGATCTCGTCCAGGCCGCGGTCAAGGAAACGCAGATGCTATTGGAGACTATGAGGAGCGTTTATGGGACAGAAGTGTCCTATAGAACACTGATAGTAGACGGCCTTCTACATAATGAATGTGGAAGGAATGACATTTGCATATTTACCGATGGCTCCTTAATGGATGGCAGAGCTGGTGCTGGGGTTTACTCGAAAGAGCTAAAACTAACGTGCACTCTACATCTAGGAATATATGTTTCCGTCTATCAAGCGGAACTTATGGCGGTCTCACATGCTCTGGATCACCTATTGGATTGTCAGGTATATCAGAAAAAGATTCTGATAGCGCTGGACAACCAAGCAGTTATCAAAAGCATGCAAAAGACATGGAATGTGCTCATGGAAATGAGGTGACGATCATGTGGGTTAAAGGACACATCGGTATTGAGCAAAAGGAGAAGGCAGATGAACTTGCAAAGCAAGGATCAAGCCATAATTTCTGTGGCCCGGAGCCCAGAATACCATTGGGGTACAGCATGACGGCAGCCTATGTCTATAAGTGGATAATCTCACTTCATCTTAATAGATGGAGAGAGTTGAGCACTTATAGACAGACCAAACTCATGTTACCAAAACCATGGGCCAGAGAAGCGATAAAGGTGCTTAGCTATTCGCTGAGCACCCTAAGCTGGCTGACCTCACTAATTACTGGACATGGCAACTTCAATTATCACCTCAAAAAGATAACTCTTGCTGAGGAAGATACTTGCAGACTATGTCTAGAAGAAAAGGAGACAGCGGTGCATATAATGTGCCAATGTCCAGCACTGGCAAGTAGGAGGAAGTCTGTCTTGGGACACTATTGGGTTGCTGACGACTTGGCAGGAAACCTCAAACTAAATGAAATGCTTGCATTAACAAAAGATGTAGTTATGCGAACGGAAGCCACTCCAGCTTTAACTCAATAACAACATCCGAGAATCGAAGGACGAAAAAGGACCCAAGTCGTTTCGTGGTCTACTTCGACTAATCCTTCACTTCAGTGGGGCCACTTGTTGGACAGTGACTACCAGCTCTCGAAGAAAGGACAACAGAACACCTGTTGTGTTTATGTCCAGACTGGGGCAGAACTAGGCTTAAGTTTCTGGAGGCCCCCTTCTTCAACACACTCGGTGATATCTCAAGCATTAGCTAGATTCTAGTATCTCTCTTGTAGTTTACCACTTGTTCATTATTTAATATGATGTGAATAACTTCATTCATTAATCTTTTTTGATAATTATTTTCGATTTCAAGAATTATTACTTCATCAAAGTTGAAATTATGTCCACTTTTTCCCATCATCTTTATTTATTAATTAATTATTTCAAAATAATAAATATATATAAATATAGATATAAATTATAAAATTGTAACTATATATAATATGAGAGAGAAGTAGTAAATTTTGTTTACATTTCTTTCTAATATTTTTAATGATTTTAAATAAATATATTTATTAATTAACAACAAATTTAATAAATTTTGATAAATGTACGATAATAGTTCATGATTTTCAATGTTTATAGTTGTTTCTGTTTGTCACATGGTTTTATAATATAGTGTGAATTAAACATAATGTTGGATCTGAAACATCATATAGGAAGGTTTAACGCACAATGAGAGAATTATATATTTAAATCGCCAAGGGGAATGGGGTATATACTAAAAAATTCATTTTGCCATCATTTTTACAGTGACTTTACAATGTCAAGTTGTTAATTTTGACTATAATCCTCTTGAATAGGTCACTATATCAAATTGTATTTTCAAAACTTCATTATCTTTGCTGCCTTGACTTTATAAGATGATAAATCTGAACACTTATCAGGTAAACCAGGATTATGTAAAATAATTAAAAAAATTTATGATTATTATATTATCTTTATTACAAGAATTTTTAATACAAGAATTATTTCCAAGACCACTGATGAAGGGTATTTGGCAATACTCGAAACAGCTGTATGGTCAGCCAAAAATTCAATTAATTAAAATAATTTAAAAAAAAAAAAAAAATTTTTGTTGTTGTTTCACTTCTGTTCGAAAATCTCTTTATGTAAATATAACAAGTTTCTATTAAAACTATAATAGTCACTTTCGTCTGGAAAATTTGACGTTAAATTACAACTTATTCACAAAAATATTGGTTCTCGCCCGTGCGACTAGTGGAGTAACATTAGCATGACTTTCTCAGCATTACGTTCCTAGATTAGGTTCTATACATAAGAAAGAACAAATCATGCAACAAATAATGCCTCTACGAATAGAATAGTTTTGAAATTTAACAATTAAAAATAAAAAATATAATAAATTAATTAATTCAATTATTCTACAGCTGGTTTATGATTTCGTTCTAATATATAAATACAGCAAGTAAAATTGTTAATAACAAAAACTCCAGCAAAAATATGCGAACAAAAAAGTCAGTTGGTTAAGGTGCGCTGATTCTGAGCTTCACATTTGGCAGGACCCGAGTTCGATTCCTGGTACTTGCAGTCTCTAAAAAATTATTTACGAATAATTAAATACAAGAATTATTTCCAAGACCATTGATGATGGGTA